GAGCGCGTCCACCCTGAGCAGGTTCGGTACGGCAACCGAGGAAAGCGTAGGACCCGGCCGTGGCGGGCTGGCTGGGGCCCGTCACCTGTTTGTTGGACTGGTAGAGTGTCAGGCGGTTGCCGCCGCCGCAGTATTCGTACTTGTTGCCGCTGCAGGTCATGCTACAGTCAGCCAGGTTTGCGGCGGCGCTGGTCGAGGCGAGAGAGTTGCCGCAGTAGCATTCGCTGCTGTATTCTGTGCCAAAGTATTTGTACTCTGAGCAGTACGAGGCGCAGTACTCGAGCGTCATGTTGTCGCCAGAGGCGTAATTCTTCTGGCTCAGGGCACGGGCGCCGTTGCCTTCCGTCCAGCAGCCTACCAGGGTGTAAGGTGATACGGTGGGCTTGTGGGCTAACGTCGGGGAGGTGGTTGTTGAGGTCGAGATTGTGCTGGAGGCAGAGGGTGAAGCCGTTGATGAAGTGACGGCGCTGCTGGAGGACGACGCAATGCTCGACGACGTGCTTGATGAGGACGCAGCACTACTCGAGGATGAGATGGTGCTAGAGGAACTAGAACTGCTCGAACTTGAAGTGGACACCTGCGACGAGGTCGAAGAGCTGCTGGAAGTAACAGAAGCAGATGTCAGAGTAGAAGATGTTGATCCACTCGCCGCTAAAACACTGACAGAGCTTGTCGATGACGAGCTGCTCGAGGTCGAAGTAGCCGTCGTCGACACCAAAGTAGACGAGGCACTACCGACTTTGTACAGCTCCAAGCGGTTGCCGTCACCGCAGTACTGGAACGAGTTGCCAGCACACTTCATGTTACACTCGCTCAGGGGCGCAGTCTTGCTAGTTGCTGCCAGACTGTTGCCACAATAGCCTACTTCGTGTTAGTTCTCATTCATAACTCAAGATACGCTGAACACTTACATTCACGCCCATACTCAGTGCCGAAGAACGTATAGTCAGAGCAAAAAGTAGCACACTTCTCGAGAGTCATGTCATCCGCAGCAGTCTGGGTGGCTGAGAGGGCGCGACCGCCATCGGCCTCCGTCTGGCAGCCGATGAACGAATACTTGCCGACGGTGCTGACGTGCGAAAGAGTAGCCGTGGGAGATGCCGTGGAGCTGCTGGTGCGAGTGGCGGTGGTCGAATACAGCTCAATACGATTGCCGGCTCCGCAGTACTGGGTTGAATCGCCAGAGCACTGCATGCTGCAGTCGGCCAAGGGAGCGGCACTGCTAGAGGCAGCCAGAGAGTTGCCGCAATAGCATTCGCGTCCGTACTCGGTTCCCCAGTAGTCGAAACCAGTGCAGTTCGACATGCAGCTGTCGAGGGTCATGCCATCGTATGCAAACGCGGGACCGTTGAGAGCTCGGCCACCAGAGGCTTCGGTCCAGCAGGAGACAAGCTTATAGCCGCCCATGGTCTGTCGGTGGGAAATCGTAGCAGTCGGAGCGGCGCTGGACGTAGTAGACGACACTGTGACGCTACCGCATGTCGCAGATCCTCCCGTCCAGCTCGCGCATGTCCCACCGATAGGATCGGCCTTCTTGAACGGATCAATCATGGCGGACGCGCCCTCTCCACTGATGAAGTCAAAGGTCGACTCGAAGCTGACACCGCCGGGAATGTTCGTGGTGACGGAGTAAAAGGTGTAGCTGCCTACACAGTCGCCCTTGATCATGTCGACGGTCATCTTACCCAGCAAGGGAACCACGCTGGTCGTCCGCGCTGTCTTGTACGAGATCTCTGCTTTAACCGGGAGAGAGGTGCGGTCGTTGCGAACTGCGGCAACAAGTGTAACATCGCCAGAGTTCTGCGTTAAGCAGCTTTGGGATGTGTGGAGAAAGATGCCGTCCTGGATCGGGTATCCGTTACCGTTGTTGTTAAACAGCGTACTCGAGCCGTCGCTCTTGTTGATCGTCACCGTGAAGGAAGAGATGCCCGTGCTGACAGGAATCTCCTGCCTGATGGGATACCAGGAGAAGCTGTCCTCCAAGCCCTTTGAGATACCCGAGATGGTGATTGTGAAGATACAGGAGCCAGTACCGCAGGTAGACCCGCCACTTCGATTCTTATAGTTGATCGTCAGACTCGAGATGCCTGTGATGGCGGTAGTTCGGACGCGAATATAGCCTGTAAGAACCATGACGGTGGGCGAAGTGAGGGAGAGCTGAAGCGCGGACGGCTTTACAGTGTAAGGTGCAATGGCATCGGTCAGGGTAACGCCGGAAGGTATGGTGTTGATCATCTTCTCGAAGACAGTCTTGCAGGTAGACTTGAAGACTGTGTTGTCAGTCATGGCCTTCACAGTGGCGTTCTGGTCGGAGCTGAAGACGACGAAATCGGAGTTACTGGCTCGAGCCGTGCCCATTTTGATGACCAGGGGATTCCGCGTGGTGCCATCAAGATATTCGGTCACGACTCTGTTGTCAAAGACGCCGTTTGAGCTATCCATGGGCGCGGAGCCGTTCAGATTTGTGCCATCCGGGACGATGGTTGGATTCTCGGCCGTGTGGACGCCGCCGATAGTGTGGCCGCAGGCTGTGGCCTGGATCATCTCCTGTTGACTGAATCCCATGCGGGTAAACTTTGAGTTGAAAACTTGAATGACTTCGTTCGGTAGTGGTACGCCTTGTGCCCCTTTTACGGTTGCGTCGATGCGTCCGGATCGAATTGCAACTGAGGGACCGCCGCACGACAGGACTGAAGTGTACACTCCAAGAGCGATGAGATCCGACATACTGCTTTTGCGGGTCAAGTAGTGTGCCATGAAGGTCAGAGTTGTCGAAAAGGCAGGGCCAGTATTCTCGCCGGTACTGGACAGCTCATACTGAATAGACGCATCCAAACCACCCACACCTTTCCCTGCGTTGGCCGGTGCCATGTCGTGAAAAGCGGTTCGCAGCCACTCTGCGGCAGTTTGACGACCGGTCCCCGATGACTCCTTGCTGCAGGGAGAGACGGTGTCGGCAAAATGTCGTGATCCGAACTGGAACGACTGATACATGATCTCCTCCAGCTCGTCAATATCCGAGGGCCATGTCGGATCAGCCCGGGCGTGTGAGGCCAGGCCTAGCAGGCTCAGCAGTATTGAGGTGTTCACCTTCATGGTGAGTTGATACCTCGACTACGAGGAGTTCAAATTACAAAATGTAGTACAAGCGAGTGACTTGGTCGTCCATGAAAGTGACGGTTCGACCTTTGGATCAGGGCACTAACCAGGGCAGATATGCCCAAAGAAAGTAGAAAGGGTCTATGGTAGAAGAAGACGGATCGAAGGAGGTGAGAGAAAAGAGAGACGAGATACTGGCCCTTGGCCGTTAGATATGAGAGACATGGTATGAAACGACACCAGAACCGCGGAGGAACAGACAAAGAGATGCGGCAACAACTTTTTGCCAACATAGACGAGCTGACCGGCGGAACCGTGGCGACCTGACCGCAGGAGACAGATGATCTAGGCACTCTGGGCAGGCCTAGGCTGTTGTGGTAGGGCTCTATCGCCAGCAAGGGCAGTAGTCTCCGTGTATGCGTAGTGTAGCGCCGAAAGAGGATGGCGGCAAAGCCTGATCTTGCCCTGGTCCGTGACCCATGGAAGAGTGAGTGAGGTCTCTTGAAGTGAGAGTGAGGGTGAGATTGATGCTAAGGGTGAGAAATTGGAGGTGAGTTCTTCGTATTTTTGGCAAAAATTGCCAAGGGTGCCGGGACCCCTCTTTCCCTTTCCGAATTAGTGCAAACCTCGCATTGGATAGAGCAAAATAAACTGGACAATGAAGCCGTCGTGATTGGTCGCGGGCATTTTGTGGCTGCTGTCGGTGCCAGCCGCAAATCCAGGGGTGCTGGGGTGACGATCCCCTGCCCCTGAGCACGGCTTACTTCACTTAACCTTAATCGGTTGGTTCAAGTCTTCGAGATACCCTCCAAAGGTCTTTCTGGAAAGGAAAATGGCCCAATGGTGCGTCGAGCAGTAAATTGCATCCCGACATTTTGGGTGGTGGTCTTGGCCTGGTCAGTTGATGTTCGGAAGGTGGGAAAAGCCCCCCTTCTCGGCGCTCCCTCAGCAGGCCGAGTCAGCAAGCACTCTTGCACTTTGAAGATAGCGAGCCGCGAGCGTGACTTCTCCGCTCGTTCGTGCGTTTGGTGTGGCATCCTTGCCCCTGCCCTGCGCTGCCGATACCAAACTATTGATGCCATGCCGACCATGGCGCTCCAGCTGATGATGCAGAACGCATGCATTTCTTGTCTATATTGCAGCTTGCGTAATGCTCTGGATCTCATGCGCAGGATCTTTGTCAATCTGGGGACTCGATGATAGCGCAGAAGGGGTCAAGCGGAATATTCGATCAGGACACAGACTGTTTGGCTGATGATACCTCGCAGATCGGCTCCGACGGCAAATCCAGAATGTCTGTCCCGTATTAATGTGTATTGTTTTGGACGTTGGCGACGCACAAGAAGTAAGCAGCCATTGATACAGCGGCTGAGGAGTCTTCGGAGAGGAACAAGACAAGGCTTCAAAAATCGCCTTTCCTGGTACCGCGTCAGGTATCTTCGAGTCAGGGAAACCGATATCTGCTCGCATGTCTTGTCAACACTCGACCCCATCTCCCGCTGTCATCCCATCACGACCATTGCCAAGACGTTCTTGCCATGTCGAAGTCTGCCCAGCTTTCGTTTCTCCACTTGAAATGGGGACGGGCTTCACATGGACAGGTACTTGAAGACTCCTTCAAATTGCGAGGGCTACAGTTGTCATGGCGGCCGAATGTGGCTTCTGTTAGTGGAAACGGACTATCGTTTCTCACCGCAATGTGGGAAGGGGCAAATAAACTGTCAAGCTAGCCCTTCCCCGCGACCCGAGCGCCATAACCTCAGAGGTAGCGCACGGTTTGCCCACCTGCTCGGCGTCGTGATTCGGTTCGTGTTGTCCCTTACGGCAGGAAGGGACAAAGAATCTTATCCCCACATTGAGACCTTACCGACTGACTGCTCAGGCAACGGTAGCAAGGCTGAACAAAGACAAACACGGACAAACACGCCAGGCCATGCGAGACAATAACCTATTGTGGGCTTCACAAAGAGACTTCAACGGCCAAGAATAGCCGCCAAGTCGCACCGCGCTGGAGACAACCCACGCGCTCGATTCGAAGAGTCCTCGTTCCGGTGTTCCACCTTGTGCGCCCGCGAATACGGAAAATGGCTCAACATCGTGTTGAGAAGCATCATCCGGTGGAGGCTGGTTCGCTGCTGCCTCCAAGAGGTTCTACAAAGGTGATAGGCGGCCAGGAAATGTCGGAAGGCGCGCCGGCTGACTACCAAAAGGAAACACGGCAGGAAAGCCCTTGACATCGGCATTATCGATGGGGATCTAATGCAAATGACCGGCCCCACACAAGCGTTCCGGTACGGGGCGCCATGTACCGGGACTTCGGTGCCAACTAAGAAAGCGGGGCCGTCGTCGTTCGTCGAGCTTTTCACCCACTGATCCAACGCCGGTAGGTATCATACGGCCAATATTTTGAAGCCAACACAATGTTGGAATTCGGTGGGCGCAACAGGAGAGTTATCGACAATATTGAACAGCCACCCGCAGCCTACCGAACGCCCCTTCGGAAGCCTGCCTGGAAGACGCACGATCCGAAGTGCCCGTACTCTGAAGCCATTCAATCCCGCAAGACATTACACAAACACAAACGGCATCTCGTCTCGGGATTTTACGGTTTCCCTGCAACCCGATATGATTGCACGGCAAGACTAAAGATTGACGACTGTGATGTTTTTTCTGGGTGTGAGGGATGTTACCAGTCGAGTGGAAAGCCAGGTCTCAAGCGAACCCTTCTTGTCCACCACGAAACCATGGAATGCTTCTTGCTACCGGTAGTTTTCTCCGCGGGCCGAGGCACCTCGCTTGCAACCAACATCTTAAATTTCCGTCGAAATCGTCCGATCGTCGACAGCTTAAAAGCCGCCGCTATGATTGTCGTCGGCGCTACCCGTCAGACAATGCGTCGATGAAGCAGGCAATGACATAATGTGCCCGGATTGAGAGCTCTGAGCACCAGACTGACTTGACGTCTAGTTCCAAAGACCAAGAGTCCGTCGTCAACATGGTGGGAAATGGTGAACGTGAGAATAGCGCCAACTGCGCTATTATACACACACTGACTACCTACTTAGTTACCAGTCGCTAATTGCCTCCTTGGACGCGGCAGCTATCTACCATTACTACAAAAAAGTGATGCTGTATTTCTGGCAAGGAGGTCTTTCCACGGTCTGGGGAAACCCTGACATGACCAGGGGAAACGCCTGGGACCGTGCAAATCCACAAAAAACCTGGCAGCGGGAAGAACAACTCTACGCGAAACTCGATGGAGAAAGACGTGCCCATGGTTGCATTGCAACTCATCAATTATCTCATTCGTAGTAGCATCGCCCTTGCAATTGGATGACGGCCCGCCAATGATCTTCAACAGCCTAGACCAAGCCTTCAAACCGAGACATACTAGAGCGACGCGTATACTTTGTAGTATAAGGTATGGGCTGGCCAGACCGAGACAGAGACAGGACCAAAGCTGGATCCAGCGGGTCGAACGCAGTCTCCAATTGAACAGACAGATTCTAGATGTGACAGGCGTTCGAAATGTGGATATCGTCAACCTTCGCAGTCTGCTAGTATTGGATGGACGCTGGGAATTAGCCATGGATCTGGGAAGCGAAGCATCTCGCCCCGAGAACCGCCAAAAGGGGGACCATCCCGGAAAAGCTGAAAAACTCTGCCGTTCTTAAACTCTAGCCGTCTTGAACATGAAGCATCCCAGGGCCCCACGACTCTGTGGTATGCTGTAGGTTTTTAGTCATGAACACCACCTTCACAACGTCAACATGGGGCCAAGCAACATCCCGTGCGAGCCGAGGAAAAGTGAAGCCAAACCCTGGCACGCCTGGCTTGCAAGCTAGGGGTAATTAGCAGTGGAAACTCTCAGTCACAAGTCACAGACACGACAGACCAAAAAAAGCGAAAGGTAAAATGGGAAGACCCCTGGGAAACCGAGCGATCCCGATCCCCACACCTTCCAGGTTCAGTCATCAGCCCCGCCAAAGCCACAAACGACTCCACCACCGTGGCCGTGCCGGCCCTCCGGCAGAACAGCAAGTGGAGAAGCCGTCATCGCTCCGGCCCAATCACACCGACGTCTGCCCCTCCAAGACGCCTGACATCATGGGTCCCCACTTACCCAGAACCCCCCCATCAGCCACAACGGCCTCCGTCATCAACCTGCAAACAGCGCCCCATACCAAGAACCTGACGCCTGTCCTCCGTCATTGGGTGATTTGGGGCTTGCGAACTTGGGGTGGTGTGTGGTGAATACACTGACTATGTGTCCGTTGGAGCGTAAAGAACATGTTCCAGGAATAAACGGGGATGGGCGGAGACAAAAGCAAGACAAGCTTGAACAGCGCTGTTCCTTGCCACGATCTACGCAATGGGCGGGATCGGGCAGTCCATTTACCGGCACTCGAAGAGAGAGGCAGCCCTTGGCAGCCCTTGTTTCCTTCTTTTCGAGTTTTAACCTTTAATTCTTAAGGGTCTCGAACCTCCCTCCATTCGTTCACCTTGACCCTACCTCATCCCACCTCACCTTCGGTATCCCAGGGTGTGACTTGAACAACAAAAAGGAAACCCGAACAAAGTCACCAAACAAAACAAGAAACAACTCCCGAGTCTACCGAACACACAAACATCCCATCGAATAAAGCCACAGCCCGAATCGCAACAATGGGCTTCGCATTAAAATTCCTCCAGTGGTTCATCCGCGGCGTCCAGCTAGGCTGCTCCATCCTCATCCTCGCAATCTTCTCCTACTTCCTCGCGACCCTTCACAACCACTCCCTCCCGATATCGACCTCCATCCGCGCCGTCGAGGGCATTTCCGGCGCCGCCACCCTGTACACCTTGGTCGGCCTGTTGCTGCTCTGCTGCCTCGCAGGTCTCGCCTTCACCTCCTTCATCGCCATCGTCCTCGACGTCGCCTTCATCGGCGCCTTCATCTACGTCGCCGTCGCCAACAAGGGCGGCGCCGGAACCTGCTCCGGCACCGTCAGCACACCTTTTGGCGACGGCCCCGCCGACGGAGAGCCGACCAACACGGGAAGCGACGGTTGGACTCACCTCCCCAGTCTGCGCACGGCTTGTAAGCTGCAGACTGCCTGCTTTGCCGTCTCCATTGTCGCAATGTAAGTGGTATCATTACTCCAATCTTTCGGAACACAGCTAACGTAAGAACCAGCTTCTTCTTCATCTTCTCCATCCTCGTCGAGGTCGCCCTCGCCCGTCACCACCGCAAGGAGAAGCGTTTTGGTCCCAGCCCCAAGAACAACTACACCTCAGGCTCGGGCTCCAAGCCTGGCTTCTTCAGCAGCTTCCGCCGCCGCGGCCGCGCCGACACTGTGACCAATGACAACGCTCTGCCCATGCACACCAGCCCCGACCAAGTCCGTCCCAGCTACGCGACCGAGACCACCGCCGTCGCTCAGGACGCAGGCTACCCCAAGTACGAAGGCGCCTACGGCAACACCGCCACTGCTACTGGCGGTGCCAATGGTTATGAGTACGGCCACGAGACCGGCACCACACAGCCCCCCCCTCGGCACTACAACGATGGTGTATACGACCGAGTCTAGACACGAGTGAGACAGGAACAGAAGTCTCGGAGTGAGACCACCTAATGAGTTGAGACAGAGTACGGAAATGAAGCTGGTGTAGGTTGGCAATTATACCCAGGGAATTGAGGAGTTTTGCCATTGGTTTTCCCAGACGATGGTTGTTTGTTGGAATTTTAGGTATGAATCAATCGATCAAGTGAAACACATTGAACCAATCATGCACAGACTGAGCTTGTATCACTAGAATGATTCTCTTTTGATTGTGACTGCATTCGTACACGTCGTAAATTGCGTTTGAACCTCTGTGGGGTCAGTGAGGTACCTCATGTCTAGGTAAGAATATCTCCCGAGTAGGATTACCCGGCACCGAAGTTGAGCTTTTCAATAACCTAATCCAGACACTCGCCAAGTGTCAGCATACCTCATAACTCTGTCGCTCAGGGTGGTATCAAGGCCATCCGGCCGCATCGTGCTCCCACTCACTGTTTGCGCCGTCGTCGGCCCCAACATCCGCCCAATTCATGTCTAGCTTCTCCAACTCCCGTGTGAAAAAGTCTTGCTCCTCGCGCAGGGCAGCCCGCAGCTCAGCCGCGATCTTGTCCGGGTATCGCCGCACATTGAACCAGTGCGTCAAACTGCGCAGCGCCTGCTCCAGTGGCAGCGCCGAGTCCACCTCGGCATCGACGTCGCTGCCAGCCAGCCATTCGTCACGCAGTTCAGGTCGACAGTGCAGGTATACCGCCGTGATGACGCGCATGTTGCTCTGCCGCCACTTACGGCCGCAGTAGGGTACTTGGTTCTTGAACAGCTTCAAGGTGTACAGTCGGAGTTCTGGCTGGGGAATCTTGAGGGATTTGCGTAGAATGTTGGCAGACTTGTACTGCACCAGGAGAAGGTTCCGGTGGGCCTTATGCTTGCAAATCTTTTGCATGATTCGGAGGTAGTTGATCAACGAGAAGAAGTTTCTTCTCGAAAAATCAGTGATAGGCTCCGCTGGCAGGTCGCCAACGGGATATCCGAGCTCATCGACTTCAGGTCGCACCGCAGCTTGTCCTTCAAGCTTACTGGTGTCGTCGCCATCGCGAGTAGCGGCGGTCGCAACGCGAGGCGGTGACCGTCTTCTCTTGATAGGCGGTGGCGCAGCCTCGTCCTCGCTCTCCTCCTCGTCCGGCTCTGCCTGTACCGGCGACTTTTCCTTGAATTTCGAGCGCAGATTACAAAAGTGAAAGAAGCTAGTTGGTCAGCTTGAGTCGTCTAGGGTTGGCAGTATTACACACCTGTTCTCCAGCCGGTCTGTCTTGCTGTCAACAACTTGTTGAACATCCTGATGTGCGAATAACTTGAGTACTAGCGGGAGGTAATTAGAATCCAGCAAAAGTTGCGTCATATATTCGGATTTCAGGACGTCTGCGGCCAGGTCAGTTAATGCCTCGGGTAAAATCACGAATACTCACGAGAGACTCTGAGCCACTTCAACAGAAGCAGTAAAATGCCAGTTATAGCCTTTGTAGTGATTTCCCGGGATCGAGCAGCATCGACTTCTTCCGGCGACATCTCAGGAAGCTCTGGAGGGCCTCCTCCAGCTGAAGCGGGGTCTTGGGGCTGCTGTTGTCTGCTAGGCCCAGCGCCGCCGTTCATACCGCCATTGACACCTCTGCCGGCCATGCTCGGATGTTGTTGACCTTGCGGGGGTTGCGACAACACGGCGGTGACGTTCATAAGTATCGGCCTCAGTAGGACGATTACAAGTGACTGCAGGTGAGGAAGTGATTCTTTCTGTCAAAGTGTCAGTCAAACTCAGCCAGAAGTGCCAAAACACCCACGTAGAAGCTTTCCACAGCAAGCAGACGCCGCTTGATCTCATCGTTCACTTTATCAGCCGAAGGGCCGCAGTCAATTTCGGGCTCTCGCATCGAAAGTTGCGCTTCTCTTCGCTCCTCGGCCTTAGTCTCCGCCTTGAACGCAGCAATCTCCTGCCTCTCTTCAAGGCTCAGCCCCTCTAGGTCCAGATTATCAATATCGCTGTCGTCGCCATCTGCTTCCCACCCTCTCTCAAACCTGAGGAAGCTTTCCCGCTCTTCCCATAACTGTCGCGTAGCGCGGGTCATGCGAACTCTCTTTGCAAACAATTCGCCCGCCTCCAAAATAGACGCAGGAATATCACTGCCCTCCCATCTACGACCGACAAGCTGTTCTTGCAATCCAGCCCCACCTTTCCCGCCAGCACTGTTGCTTGTGGCATCTAGAGGTGGGTACATAAATGGGAAATTCTGGTTCGTCTGGTAGTTTTGCTTTTTTCCGCCCTTCCCACCAACACCAGGAGATGGCGGCGGCGACGGAGCGGGCGTCGCAATGTGCACGGGTTGATGCAAGATAGAAGCGCCGCCGCTCTGTGAGGTGGGTGGTCCCGGGAAAATCCCATTGGCTGCACTGGTCCTGGTCGGCTGATTTGGTATGGGTGGAAGAAGGGTCGTGTTCTCAGGTTCCAGGGGAATGAGTGTCCGCGGAGGAACATAGGCCGGATACTTCGATGTGAGCTCTTGCCTGAACACATGATAATCTAGAGGTGATGCTGTGATGAAGTCTTTGGACTTTGCATTGGGTGACTCGTTTGTTGCCTTCTTGGCCTCGTCTATCTCTTGGGTGCCGCCGAAAACGAGTAGGATGGCTTTCCAGAAGAGCAGGAAAATCTATACTTGTTAGTCGGGATCGCATACGGCATCACTAATCATACCTGGCTGGATGGCATCAGATTTCCATCGTCCCAACGCAGCTTCGAGGTTGCGAGCGACATGAAATCAACCAGTCCAGGTTTGAGGGAAACTAACAGCAGTCAGTCGAGTCTTTACCAGATGGGTATGTTGGGTGCGTGTTGCTTACGAAGCTCGGATCTGGTGGCCTCCAGTTCCTTGGGGAAGCTCAGTGCCTCCTGAATAATGACATACATGATGGTCATGAGATTAATAAGTTCATCCTGGGCCTCTTGGGCGCCGCCGGGCTGGACAAGGCGAGCGTCATCCGACCTGGTTGAATTAGCTGACGACCTGATACAATGCTCGAGCTACTCACCAAAACACATCGAAACAACTTTGCAGAGCCGACCAAACAGTATTAATGCCGTCCAAAGACGTCAGAAAGCTGATGCTTGATCTGATAGCCTCCAATTGTGTCGCACTGGCAGCTGACCTCCTGTCACCCACAGTAGCCGGTGTCGACGTATCGCCCCATCGCCCAAGCACCAGGTACAAAACTTTGCCAATATGCGCAGAACGTTGTGTCGGGTCCTTGACTTGAAGACCATCTAGGGCATCTAGCGTGAACTTGGCTTTTGTCTGATGTTCCGTCTCTTCCCAAGTTGTCTGTATGTCGTAATCATGTTGCCACTGCCATTCGAAGGCTCGCTGAGCGGCGTTCAATCGTACCCATTGCCAAAACTGGTAAACAAACCACTCGTCAACCTCCTCGTCGTGAACACCCATGTCATTGTAGACGAAATCGTAGGCGACGGGCTCGCCACGACTAAACTCGGCAACGATTTTTCGAAGCTGCAATAACGACAGCGAGTCGGTGGGCTGCTGAGGTTCGGGCGCGGGAGGCATTGGGGCTGGGGGGATCGGAACTGGCGCCGGAACTGGTGAGGGTGCAGATGAGTTTCTCTGCAAGGACGGTCGTGGTGGAGGCGGAGGAGGTGGATTGCTCGTATCGGGGCCGACGTCCGCAACGACAGCATCCGCTATCACGGCATCTGCGACATCGCCGGTCGGTGGTGGTTCCTTTTCGGCGGCGGTGCCATCGTTGGCAGGCCGCGAGGGCCACAGAGAGTTCATCCTGTGAGGAAGTGGAGGTGTGTCGATGGGTGTATCATGCTCTAAGAGGTTATTGGTAGACGAGCAGGAGTCGAGTGTGCTTCATCCGTGTAGATTTTTGGAACGAATAGAGAATGCCTCGCGTCGATAATGCGTTGGATCGTGTTGTGGACGAAGCTTTGGTTGTTCAGCACGAAAGCATTCTGACGTGGTCGCGGTGAGATGCAGCGATCAGGAGGAATGCTGTTTGCGCTGCAGCTTGTGATTGGTCAGACAGCTCGCTCTTGGTGGTTTGGCGGGGTGCACCTCGATGTGCGACCCAGCACCGGCTTCTTATCGCGTATCGATTATTGCATGTCTTATCTGGATTGAATATTAGGTCATCCCTCCTCATCGTCCGGGCTTTTCAGTATATCAAGGTGCCCAAGCCAGGGCAAAATAGGGCATTTCTCTATTGAACGGAAAGTGGAGGAGTGACATGTGCCTGGCAGTGCTTGTCGCTTACACAGCATTGCATGGAGAAATAAACTCATTTGAGGCGCCCAAGGCGATGGAGTGATCGTCTCATGTCAAAGAGTACGCGAGCAGCATCACCCGATGTTCATCAGTAGTCAGCAGCCCGATGGGGGTCTAGCTCTGAATTCTCACTGCGCAGACTTTCCCCGAGTAGATGGTCATGCGGACGTCCGCAAGGTCAACTCGGTTGATATTAGGTCCCTTTGGCTACCTGGCACCTGCCTATGTTACCAATTACTCAGGTACCTGATGTGCTGACATCGCACAGGGCAGATAGGTACAGTGCTGAAGAGCTGCAAGACTGACAAGCGCAGAACCTTGGAAGTACGAAATCCAGGGTGCATTAGGTTGGTTTACTTATCCAGCCCGAGAATCAGGCTGGTTCTACGAGTCCCACCACCCAAAACAGCAACGACGTCAGCGACTTGTCCGCCTTCCGGTTCTTCGGCAGCACAAGCCACGGAGAGACAGGCCCCCCCCCCCACTTCACTAATCCTGCAGTGAGGAAACTGCCCCCGCCGTGGGTTGGTGGTCAGCTCGGCCCACTCCGGGCGAACCAGCACCCCAAGGTGAGGGCTACGGGGTGCGAACAATGCTGCAATCATCACTAACTAAGTGCTACCTTACCTTAACACCTTGGCCCCGCTGATTGAAGAAGCTTCCATCCGTTGAAGCTGAGGTGGGCAGCTCTTACTCTGCCACTACTTTTACTTTAGTTTCCTTTCATAGATTTCCGCCTACCGTTTCTCCGAGTCACGCTCTTTAGAACAAAACCTTTATTCATCCATCGTCTGGGCCTCGGTATCGGCAGCAACCTGCATCCTAGCTTCTGTTCATTCATACTTTCGGGGAACGTGCCTCGGGGTTGGAATCGCGAATACTTCCTGCATACCCAATTGCCTCATTGCCACTGCATATGGGCACTGTACGACGCGACGAAGAGAGAGACAGCCACTTGATGACTTTCTCTTTGCGAACGCGGTCGAAATAAACTTTCGATTTGCCGGCGATTGAACCTGCTTCTCAACGCTCTCAAAACGAATCCCTTTTTCAACCCGCTGCCAAAGCTGTGAGACCGTATCGAAGTCGTCTACAAGTACCAGCCACGATCAAACTACCCCGCCGTCGTCGCGACTTTTCCGACTTGTTTCGCCTTCTTCGTCAGCGCGATACTCTTGCTGCCGGAAATGGGCGCCGAGACTACCAACGACGAGACGGAGAAGCGTGTTGGCTTTGAGAAAGAGGAAGATGCGCATTCAAGCGGAAGCGACGACGACTACCAAAAGGCTGTCGAGGTATGTGAAATTGAGCGCATCGTATCAAACAGCAAGCCTCATATTAAGACATTGATAGGTCACTTTTGATCCCGGAAACCCTTACCGTCGTAAAAGCTCTCTAGTTACTTCCGAGTCTTCCAGACCCTTACCGCGTCATCCTAGCCGGAGAACTGAGTGTATTGTTCACCAGTTCCTCGAAAGCCAGAGAAAGGCTCGTAATGCGGTAGCCTCCGCAAGCAACCATGGCTCTCGGTCAAATTCAGTATCAAGCGCCTCGAAAGCCACCACGGACAACTACCACCACGGTCATCCTACCTATGAAAATTCTCATCGGCAAGTGGGTGCTTGTGATGTATCCGGGGAGTCAGGCATGTCCAAACCTGTCGAGCCAAAGGGACGGTTCGCTAAGCAAAGAGCGTCGATTCTGGCAGCCGACAGCCCCGAGGGTAGTGACATTGGCCAGGCCGATGAAAAGTCCTGGCGAACCGAGATCATCAAGTCTGCTTCTCAAATCGATCTCACCCAGTCTGATGACGACGACGAGCTACACAGTCGACTACTTACCAAGAAGCAGCTTAGTGAGATGGCTTGGGGGGTCCGAGAGCTCAGCAGACGTCTCAGCAGTATGCGCATCAGATTTCGCGTAAAGACGATTTTTCTCTTGACCAAGATTCACGACGCGGATTTAATCGCGCGCACCAGGGAACTGACTAAATGGCTCCTGTCCCATGAGCGGGACGTTGTGTACACAGTATACGTGGAGGAGAAGTTCAAGGACAACAAAAAGTTCAACGCCACAGGGATAGTTGAAGAGCTCAAGAAAGACGCTGTCGAGGCCGGTCCATTGAAACCTGGCAAAAGCGAGGAAGGAATCTCGAAGCGTCTCCGGTACTGGGATGAAGACATGTGCCGGAACCGGCCGCACATGTTCGACTTTGTCATCTCATTGGGAGGCGACGGTACCGTACTCTACGCCAGCTGGCTATTCCAGCGCATTGTTCCGCCGGTACTTAGCTTCTCCCTCGGCAGTCTGGGGTTTCTGACAAAATTCGACTTCGAGGACTACAGAAGCATCCTCGAGAATGCCTTCAATAAGGGTGTCACAGTCAGCCTGCGCTTGCGTTTTGAGGGAACAATCATGAGGAGTCAAACGAGGAAACAGCTTGTAGACGGTGAAGAAAGCAGCTCGAGCCAAGACGACGATGGGCGAAAGCTTGATCTCGTTGAAGAGCTGGTCGGCGAAGAGAGGGAAGACGAGCATACCCACAAACCAGACGGAACTTTTGAGATATTGAACGAAATCGTCGTGGATCGTGGTCCAAATCCCAGTAAGTGCTCGACCATGCTCCCTGTCGAGCAGACTCTAGATAACTGACCTTACAACTCCAACAGCAATGTCATACACTGAAATCTTCGGTGACGACGAACACTTCACTTCCGTCTTGGCAGACGGCATTTGCGTTTCGACCCCAACGGGGTCCACCGCGTACAACCTGGCGGCCGGCGGCTCACTCTGCCACCCGGAGAACCCCGTCATGCTCGTCACGGCCATCTGCGCACACACGCTCTCGTTCCGCCCGATCATCCTCCCTGATACAATTGTACTTCGTGTGGGCGTGCCCTACGACGCGAGGACTAATTCGTGGGCCAGCTTCGACGGCCGCGAGCGCGTAGAGCTATTCCCCGGAGACTACGTGACTATCAGCGCCAGCCGGTATCCCTTTGCCAGCGTTCAAGCTCAGGGCCGGCGTAGCGAAGACTGGGTTAACAGTATCAGCGGCAAGCTGGGCTGGAACACGCGCCAGAAGCAAAAGGAATACAAGGAATGGGAGAGATAGATTCTTCTCCGTCAAGGGAAACGACTGTTGAAAAAAGTCTAGAAAAGTTCCACGAAACACCCAAGTCTAAAGGCTTGGCTTCGGATAGCAGCTTTCCGAGTGGCTGTTCTTTGGCAAGCTGTCACCACACAAGAGTTCACGTGGTCACACGCAAACGATGAGGATGGGCGGATGACACATTTCAAATCTTTTGTTACTTGCCGCGTGGCCAGCCCAGGAGGGAGCACATACATCAATCTACTTCCTGCCCTTCCGAGGACTATAAATCCAAACGCCAAGCCCCGGAGATGGTTCACGTTTTCGAGAGAACCTCTTTTTGAACCTTCCAGAGGTTAGAACATCCCGTCTTTGGGGGTTGGCCGCTTGACCTCCGAGAACGAAGATCGACTAGGTTCACGAACGCAATCAAGCTTTGCTGTTGAGCTTGGCACTACGTCTTTCAGCCTAGCCTGGGTGCGATATGACTTGCGAAGGATGGAGGGCGAGTTTGAGGAAACATAGCACAGAGACGTCTTAGCAGCAATCTGATCATCCCTCTGGCTTCAAGACGGGCTTCGGGTGTCGTTTTCGTGCTCGCCATCCACGATTTTCTTGCAACTTGGTCGGTCTTCCTCCATCCCATCAAGCCAACAAAGGAAAGAGTCCAACAAGCAGACTATGGGCAGACAGACTCATCGTTTCTTGTAGTAAGATGTTTCCTCCCCAAGACACGAAAATGCACCCAGGGCAACCCACGCCAAAACTCGACAAAACGAACGCGGCAGGCTAAAACACCGACCGGCGTCACCCGCCCATCTCACTGGTCCTACGACTCCCCAGGGGGGACAGGGCACCTTACTGAGGCTTACGGATAGGATAGACCGCTCGCGGGCTTCGCAGCACATCTATTGCCCGCTCGGTCGTACCCGCGGGTTACCCTTGGTCATGCTCCTCCCACCTTCCGCACAACTGGGATAGCCCCTGAGACGCGCCTGCTGACAAAGGGAAACGCTACAACTCTCCCATTGGTCTCTTTTCTTTGCCTGGACGATTTTCTTGTCAAGTAGCATGGATACCGCCGATGGTTGTATGCGGCTCTAGTACTGGGGTGAGGGGACTTGTGACAGATGCTGCGACGTCCCGCTGGTCCGATGTTCGCCGGCAACACAATGGAACGTCTCATAACCACAACAACTCGGAACTGATCGCCATACGTCCATAGGTTAGTCAATAGGCGGCTTTTTTGCCCTTTGAGCTGCAGGTTCCACATAATGCCTACATGTTTTTTTCATGCAGGAACCGCCACGCAGACTCGAGGTCTAGTCAACTTTTCGCTTGGGACGAAACAGGCAATTTTGATTTCCGGTCGTTTCTACTAATGTATGCTACATGCACAAAAAAAAAAAGATCGAAGGAAAAAGCATAGCAAGCAGGATTCAGGGCTGTTAATAATCGCTGGACAATGTTTGGGTAGATGGCAAAGAGGTATTTTTTTGAGATAGAGAAGAACAAGAAAAAAGAAAAAAGGTTCAGATACACAACTACTCGATACGCCGCCGCCGCCGACCGCCACAGCCAATAAGGAGAAATAACCAGGCGTTTTCCGACTATCGATGAAAATTGTACACGCCGAATGCTAGTGATTTGTCTAGAACGAACACCCACACCACCTTTCCCAAAATGTTTGATATCATGGCGTTAAAATAAAGACAAGGAGGTTTGAGGCCCGTGAAAAGCGAAGGCAAGCCGAGACCCATTGGTTTGCGTAGTGAGCCGTAACCCGGTTGAGTCAGAGTGAGAAGCGGAAGGATCTCGGCGAGGGATTAGGGCTGAGGCCGGGAATCGTAAATTTTTTGAATGAGTTGAGGAGGAGAAAAAACAAATCGTGGCAACGTTCTCAATTTTGGGGGGTTTGGTTGAATAAACTCTTTTGGGTTTCCAGGAACACACACGCGAGAAGAGCATTTACTGCTCGTCCTCTACATCGTCGGCCTGAGTCTCGACAAAGGTCATGGTGACGCCCTCGCCGCTGACGTTCAGGTTGACGGTGTCAATGGCACCACCGCTTACGCCTCGTGCGTTGAGCTCCTCTACGGCGCGCTTGACGACGTTGTTGTTAGTGGCGGGAACGACTTGGGAAACGGGGACGGAAGGATCGCGGGCAACGAGCTTCTCAGGGGTCATCTCGACGCCTATTCCATAGTGATTAGCCATTTATACTTGGAGCGTTTTTTGGGTTGTTTATTACTTACCAGCAGGAACGCCAGAGCGAACGTACATGGTGGTGACCTTGGCACGGCGGCGAGGGGGCTGCTGGACCTCGTCGGAGCGGGCTTTGACCTTCTGCTGGGCAACAATGGCGCCGGCAGGGCGGGGAGCAGCGGGGGTAGCAGGGGCGGCGGGAGCGGCCTCAGCGGCGCCTCCAGTTCCAGGGCGAGCCGCGGCTTGCTGGTTGTTGTCGATGATCATGCCGACACCAGAGCCCTCCTGGCCAGTGCCAAGCTGCACCTTGGGTCCCTTTACCAGGGCGGCCTCGGCGTACTTCAGGGCGCGGTCGAATCCGGAGAGATCTCGCTTCTCGGCGGGACGGGCCTTGGTGAGCTGTACACGAGGAGCGATCTCCTTGCCCATTCCTTGGAGGGCTGCGATAGCTTGGGCCTAGTTGGTGAAATAATATGTTAGCTGATATTGGTCTGATAGTACTAGCGTCCGTGTGTGTCCCGTACACACAGACATGAGCCGCCCGAAAGCTAGAAGATTCCACTGACCTCGTTGATCTGGTTGTCCGAGGACGTAGCGGTCACCGGCGTAGCACCCCCGACCGAAGCAGCGGCTTGCTGAGGCGGCTGCTGAGGGGTGGCCGGAGTGGCAGGTGCCGCGGGAGCGGCAGGGGCGGCGGCCGGAGCATTCGCAGCACCTTGAGCAGCATTAACTGCGGCGCCCTCCAGTACGTTCATTAACTGGGAGACGTCGTTTCTACCGCCAAATGAAATTTCACCATCACCCACCACCAAGGCAGGTGAATAAGCGCCCAAGTTGATGTTCAAGGGCAGAGCGTTGAGCTGAGCGGCCAGGCCGGCAACGGCGAAGAGGTAGCGGTTGACCATCTTGTCGATCTGTTCGGGTAGTCGGTATCTGTTGGTGTGATTCGGGTAGCACGGCTCTTGGAAGAAGAGGCGAAGGGTGGTCTGCGGGACGGTGACACTAAGTAATAGGCGTAGAGTTGTATAATAAGGACACGACCAGCGGAAGAATTGAAGAAAGCTTTTGAAGTCTTGAAGAAGAGAGAGAAGAAAACCGAGAAGAGACAGGATACCAGTCGAGCACAGCTAAAGAAGAAATAGAAGAGAAGTTTTGAAAAATTGCACGAGAATTTAGCTTTCATATATTTCCCCACGAGCCAAGATGGACGAGTTGAGACTGGAGACTAGCCACATGCTTGAGACACAGCCGCCAAGATGCCAAGAGATAGAGTCCCGTCGAAAGCCTCAAGTTGGTCGTGGGCCCTCAGACATTAGCAGAGGGGGCTACCGTCTGGGGTAGGCTCTCGATCGAGTCGGTACGGAGGCGTAGGCAGGGGGTCGTCGTCGTGGTCGAGGTGGGATTGCCCAGCTGGAAAGCTCCGAATAGCGCCAAGGGATGGCCGTTGGACGAGTAGGCTAGAGACGGTACATTGTGGACAATCCGCCTAGCGGGACTGGATCTTGTTCAGCGTGAGGTCCAAGCAGTCACCGACGCAGTTGAGGCATGAAACGCAGGTGACACCAGAGACAGGCAGCGAGCCAATTGGGCAGGTCGGGTTGGGATATCCATCTGGGAGGCCAGCCGCGGTCGAGTGTGCAAGAGGAGGGCGATTCGAGACCAAGCTTGACGGAGAGACCTGACTAGGAGGTCTTGGCATCGTCGCCGTGCCTCTATGCGATGGCCGAGAGATGTCAGGTAGGATGCCAATTTTGGCCCAGAGATCCACGCTCTGATGTTGCCAGGGCATGGGTGACCCCCCGGGACGCGTAGACAGATCCGACTCGACTCTCTGGCAGATGGTCAAGGGACGCAGTATTTGCAGAGTGGGTCAGTCGCTCTTGAGACTTTGCCAAGCACTCCTGCGATGGTAGCTGGGACGTGCACCGCAACGATACTGCCCATTTCTTTGCCTCTCATTGTTGATTTCTGCGTGGGTGGATGGGACGAAGGTGGCGGGTAAGCAGCCTGGACGATACTCGGCGTTGGTGGATTTGCAAAGGAACAATCTAGAGGCTCAGAAATCTGCGTGTAGCATCTAAGCATACCTTCATGGTTGTGCCAAGGGGCGGATTATTCTCTTGGCACTTGGCGGGTCGCCGTATGGCCGGTGTCGTCTTCCGTCTGGTAGCATCCTTTCCACTTGCTGCCCCCTCAGCAGGGCAGACTATCGAGCATCGATGCAACGGCCAAGAAGCACAAGAGATCTCCCCGGTATTGGCGTTGACGGATGCCGCGGCGGATGGAGTCTCCAAGCCCGCCAAGTGGCCAAGGGCAATCAGCCACGTCCCGGCCGTGTAACCTCTTGGTCCGCGGCACGCCGCACAGGTGAGAGAGAGACAGACGTAGACTCGCAGAGCCGCTAAACAACGAGGGAAGAGTGAGTCGGGTTGTTTTCTCTACCGAGTCGTGCACAGCGCTGTTCGGCCCGCCCTCTCTGCCCCATTGCCGGGATGGTGTCCCTGGCGAATGTTTCCTCAACTCCAGGTTGCGGATGATGGAAAGACGTCTAGTGGTGGACACAAGGGCAAACGCATGACAGTCGTGCCCCGATGGTTTGCCAATTGTCAAGTGTCAGGAGGAGCCCTAAGAACCCCGTGGGACGGTACAAAGCGAAAAAAGGGTCCAACTGCGTTCCGTGACAGAGTCTTGGGCCGGGTGGATGGATGGAGACTGGGATGCAATGCAGAGAGGCCAGACGAGTTCGACCGAGCATGGGGAGAGAGTCTGAGGTCGAGTGACTGTGGTGCAGTACTGTCGAGTATCGAGTGTCGAGTGCTGGATTTTCTGGTCTAGTGCGACACACTCCCATACTTCTGCCCGTGTCTGAGACTTCGGAGTTGCGTGATAGTCGCCGTCGTAAGGATTCCACTGATGGTGGTCGTCTCTACATTATTGTTTGCTCGGGCTCCGTTTTGTAGCCAAAATTAGCATTGGGTGCCGGGGACATCAGACCAAGCCCCTATTTTCCCTAACCTTGAACGGGAACGAGTCTGTTTTGCGGTTCTAGTGTATAAGGAAGTTTGCGGCTTGCCCCATGACACACCTTGTTTGCGAGTCTTCAATGCAGACGGGCACGTTGAGGCCTGCAGGATATGCCCAGTTCGAAGCGAACATGCACGTGCCTAACCCGCCTGGTTTCCGGCGAGAAAGGGCGAAGCGTACCGGGGGAGAGCCTGAAGGCATTCAGATTCAGCAAAGTCAATGGGCCGGAAGTCGAATCGGTGTCGTTGCCCGGAATCAGGATTGTGTGTTACCTCATTGTTGGTTGGACCGTTGAAAAGACTTTGTTGGGTGTGGAAGGAAAGAGTTCGCGCTCAAGGACAGGGCGAGGTTTCCAGGCTGCAGGTAGAGACTCTGACAGGTCTTCCTTCCTGCCTTGCCAAACAACCAAACTCTGCTGCCCGGCTCCTGCCTGTCACCAGCATCGCTCAACCCCTCTGATTTCTCACCAAGCGCATCCCGTGCCCTTTTTGCTCTGTACCTTGCATCAAAATCTGCATCTAACGTCCGTACCTCACAGAACCTAAGGGATGGAAGGTACATTCGGCTGGATTTCTCATCAACCTGGGAACTTGAATGTGTGACAGTCATCCATTCTTGGTTCGATGCAGCTCATCTTCCACTGGGCTTTAGGTTAGCAAGCCGAAAGGCTATGCGGCTGTCGCCATCTTAGTGCACCGTCTGTGATCAACTGTCATCTGCTTCCGCCATGTGGTCCGGCGTTGAGTGTGGAGGGAGTGAAGAATAAAGCTTCGTCCGGAAGAGACGGCGCGGAATGGCTGGTCTTGGGAGTCTAAAGTCTTGGAAACCAGCCTGTCAACCACTTGCAGCATGTCTTGGACAGCGCGAGTCCTTCCGCATGAGCAACTCTCCAGCGGCCCCATTCCCATTGTTGCAACTTCGTTTTCTGGGGATCAAGTGTCTCTTCGCCATTGGGTCCGCAAGCCGATGCTCAAAAGACAAGAGTTTACCAAGACCATCCATCGGCGCTCTTGGCTGCGTCCAAGTGTTGTCATTTCGTCCACCCTCTACGAACAGCCTGACTCTAATCTCTCGAGTCTGGGGGCCAAAACTCCGGGCAGCCTGGCCTAGATGGCAATGGCCGCGGATTCTGCACCAGATTGTTTGTTTCGAGAATCGAGTCCTGGTCAACTCAAGTCAAGCTTACTTGGCTATTCCATCTTGGCTCGTCCACAGTCGTACTCTACCCCTTGGAGGCGTCCATGCACCCTACGATCCCATCCACCTGCAACGTTGGTCGTCGACAAATGTTGCCTCTTTCAAGTGCCGACGGAGGAAGAGGAGCCATGATTGCATGGCCTTGTCGCTCCAGCGAGAACGAACTCCTCCATCCAACATGGACCCCGGGCCCGTTGGTCAGTCACCACAACGGCGGACGTTCCCAAGGGTTACACTCCTCGTCTTTGCCGAAATTCGTCGCCTGCCCCGGTTGCACAAGGCCTTGTCCGTACCAACACGCTTGCTTCTTCAGACGGATGCACCGTCACCGCCTCAAGTTTTCTGTCATCCAAGCCCCTTGGACGCAAACCTCGGTGCTCACAGTCGGCCAAGCCGGTCAAACGGCACTAGAATGCAACTCAAGTGATTGTGACAGCACCAGCAGCCGCGGCGATCACCTACGAGAGTCCAGCAACAACTCCAGGCCGCGCGCATTTGTCTCATTCGTCGCATATCCTTCAGAAAATCCGAAAATAGCTCTCGCGGGTGATCTGAGACGTTCGCGAACCTCGACCGCTAGCTGATTGAACTCTTAGACGAACCGGTTTCCATCGGTGCTCCATTCATGCGTTCGCATTATCTAGGCCAGAAAGTCGGAACCTATTACGAACGTTGTGGCGGGCTTCTAAAAAGAGACTCTCTCTGAAATGGAAGGTCCTTCTAAGCAGCATCAAATGTCATTGTCTCAGGAACTCGCCTGTACGGTGTACGGGGTAATTACCGCAAGGTTTTTCCAAGATGGCCATACTATCCGCCGCTCTTTGTTTTTCTTGTTTGGTGGCTGGGCTGAGCGGATGGTCGAACCCAAGCTGTGCTGTGGGCTCCGTCCCCAAACGTACCCAAAACAGCGAAACATCGCGGGATATCTCCCTGGCACTTGCTCGTCGCTTATCGTACACGCCAAGGCCAACCCTCAGACGCGCCAGTTGGTCTAGCCGGTCTGGAAGACGCGGGAGGAAGAGGAGGTCGCCTCTTGATTGTCCTGGAGCCCTGGACCAATTCACCAATACAAAATCCTGACTCGTCTCCGCGTTTCCACCATCCCCGAGCTGTCTCTGGTAGCGCTGCCGCAGGTATCCTATATCGTGGACGGAATATTACAGTAACCGGTTAAGACGCTGCTTCCGGGCTCTTGGCACCGCAAATTTCGCCTCAAACGTCCCTTGACGTCCGGACTAGTGCCCGTCCCTTCTACAACCAAGTTCATACACTCACCATGCAGTCACCGAGACTTCACTTGAAGATAATCAGGGGAAATGTGCCTCATGCATGCACTGCATGTTCTGCACCTCAATTACTCGAAAAGTCTCGACAAGTCGCTGAAATCATCGGATCGCCTTGCCAAGAGGTCGATGGAAAAGGATGATTCGCCGATCCCAACTTGTGACTGGCCAGCGCCAAACTGTCGTGCGGCGTGCCGCGCTGATGGTGCAGTAGCCGCGTCTTACGGTCTGCTACCTCCAGAATCCTGCTGCTGGCAGGCATCAGTGCGAGCCGAACGTCAACTCATCACCGACGTAGTCGTCAGGGCATCTTGTCGCCTCTCATCCTACCTTACCTTGCCCATCCATAGCTATAGCACCACCGGTCCATTTATCGTCTGACTCTTGTTCAACACCTCTTTGCCACTTTTGTTTCCTTGATCATGTCGGCGAAAAGCTTCGCTGAGTCAAACCCATCGTATCGGCCCGTTCACTCACGACAGAGAGAATCTTGGAGGAGGCCTCTCGTCCTCGCAGTCGTTCTGTTTGTGCTATGGTTGTGGAAACTCAGTGAATGGTTCTATGGCCGTAATGTAATCCTTCACCCAGAACAAGACCCCTTCCCAGTCTTCACCGATTGGGATGACATACCCACGAGCGAGAAGCTCCTCTGGGTGCGATGCGAGCTCCCCGGCATGTTTCCCCTTGGCCGTGGCTACATGTGCGCCCGACTGACCGTGCCGATGGATTATCAACGGCCCTTGAACCAGTCTTCCGATAATCCCAAGGTCCATGTCGCCATGGTTCTCCTCCCCGCTCTCAGCCACGGCCTAGAGACGGGGCGTTTCTCCGAGTCCCCGCTTCTCCTCAACCCCGGCGGACCCGGCGGACCAGGTACCACTTTCACGTTCCCGCCGTTTGGCCCCACTATCCAGGCCGCCGCCGGAGGCAGCGTCGACATCATTGGCTTCGACCCCCGCGGCATCGGTGCCACAACCCCGCGGGCTGACTGTTTCGTCGACACCAAGCCGGGCGAGCAACCCTCCGCCGCGGCTAACAACCTTGGGTATATGCACAGACTGACCTGGCTGGCGATGGCTCACGACATCGGTCTGCCGAATTCCACTTCCGGCGCCTTGGACCAGCTCGCACAGCGTGCCAGGGCGTTGTCCAAGCTGTGCTCCCAGAAGGATGTTGAGGAGGGCGGTTTCAGATACATGGCCACGCCGAATGTAGCGGCAGATATGAAAAGCATCATCGCCGCACATGATGCCTGGCTTGAGGAGAACGGGTTCCATACTACTCCCCTTGGTGCCGGCGTGTTGTCGCCCAGCGACGTTGCCCCTATTTCTACAAAGGGCAAACTTGTCTACTGGGGCTTTAGCTACGGCACATTCCTTGGACAAACCTTTGCAGCCATGTATCGTATGTGGCAACCAAATGTTCCTCTTGTAAGATGTAAGGGCTGACGTTGTTTGTGTTCTACAGCTGATGCGGTTGGGCGACTAATTCTGGATGGCGTCGTTGATTCCAGGGAGTACGATATGCCCGTGAGTCTTATCCGTGACCTCTAGTCGATCTCAGGATCACTTGGATGCTAAAAACAATGCTAGACGTGGATCTCGGCTATGCAAGATGCCGACTCAGTACTCGAGAGATTCTTCTACTACTGCCACCTTGCCAGGGACGCATGTGCCCTTTACCGTCTGGGTGACGGTGGCCCAGAACAAATTAAGCAACGATATGAACAGACAATGGCCAAGCTACGAGCTGATCCGCTCATCGTCGTCTCCCGCGCGGGACACATGCCCATCGTGCTGATGGAGGCCGACATACGGAAGCTGCTCTTCACCTCGCTCTACTCTCCCACCAAGGTCTTCCCCTTGTTAGCTGTTCTTCTGAACCGTCTGCACGTGGGCGATGACCTATCTGACGTCGTGGTTGCGCCTGATTTGGGCTTCACCTGCGACGCGGATCTCAAGCTGGTTATTTACCCGGAGGAGAGCCCCAAGGCGATTGGCTGCAGTGACCGGAGGTACAAGGTGAGATGGAAGATGAATGTGAAGCTTGAGAAGAGCAAATGCTAACGGGCTTTTCTGGCAAGCGTAACGAGACTTTGGAGCAAGTTTTCGACAAAGTGTCCAAGGTCACCTCCTTCGCCGACGTCGTAAGTCCATCTACACTCTTACCTAGGAGTAATTGCTAGCTGACTCCTGCCTCAAGTTCTTCCCCCTCATGATGAACTGCGAAGGCTGGACCATCGAAGCCAACTTCCCCTCCCTCGACTGGGACGCCAACCTCCAAGCCCCCGACCCCGTCAACACCTCCTTTCCGCTCCTCTTCGTAGGAAACACCTACGACCCCGTCACGCCTCTCTCCCAGGCCGTCGCCATGTCCCGGAAATTCCTCAACGCCGGCGTCTTTGAGCTCGAGGCCGAGGGGCACTGTACCCTGGCCGCGACGTCCATCTGCGCAATACAGAAGATGAGGGCGTATCTGCACAAGGGTGTCGTGCCGCCGCCGGCTACGGTTACCGCGGATGGAAGGATCGCCGGGTGGGAGAAGTGTAAGGCCGACGAGCAGCCTTGGAAGCCTTTCCCGGCTGAGATGGCGGCGGAAGAGGGGTTTATGCACGCGGAGGACATGCATGTCTTACAAGGGTTGAGGGATGTGCATGCCGAGATTATCGGCCGGTTGTTACCGCCATCGAAGTTGCGTTTGCAATAAGGAAGCACGGAAGCAAGGCACTAGGTATTGGCCTCGAGCGGTTGGCCCACCCTCCGAAAGGCCCTCCGAAAGGCGGACATTATCGTACGTGTTAGTCAGAGGGCTTGTCATCTCGGACACAGTTCGGTTTCTGGTGGTACCTGTGGCCTATCTAGCCCAATGGTACGACTGGAGAAGCATTCCATGTTTTCTGGGTGCGGTTGCCAATGAGCCCGACATCACGAACTCGCCGGCACGCGGCGAGGTGGAGGTGATGGTGTACTTCGTGATGCCCGATTTCTGCCCGATATTGTCTCACTCTCACGTGTGAGAGGTGTGGATCACTCGCGCCTGCGTGGAAAAGACACCCATATGCATTTCGATATCGTCATAGATGTCTCGATCATACAGATACCTATGGACACCCAAGGTAGTTTTGAGGCCATCAAGCTTAAACTTGGAATCGTAAGTTGGGCTACGGGGTGGTGTTGTGTGTGGGAGCATGGACCTAAACATGAGAGGCATTCCATGGCACATGGCAATGCTACGCAGGATGCTGCCATCTGGCGCATATCTTGCAGTATCAACACAGTTTGCGTGCCGCGTAGCCTTTCCTGAAGCTCTGAAATCCCTTAAGCAAGATGGAGATATCTAGACAAACACAGCACCCTCTCACTTGACATAGCATCAATGCTGTCCGATGGTCATGCCGCTTGACTACCTACGGAGTATTCTCTCGGTCCCAAGGTGCAAACTTTCCTCCTCTTGACCGCTGGATTCCTCGTCTTCATTTGATTGATCCCAACATAACTTCAGCCCGGAATCCACCATTTCACGCTCGGCTCCGACGAAAGTACGGCTGCGGTGTAGCCTCGATGAAGGCGGTGATCTACCATCTGCCGAGACGGCCACGTCAGGCCCCGTTGGCGAGATCTATTATCCACATGGAAGTATAAGCAGATCATTTGTCTGAGGCCAAGATCTGTTATCCACTTCAAAGTATTTCAATATCGCTCGTCTCAGGCACAAGCCCTACTTGGACTGGAAGGCCGAGATTTGTATAGATCCACTGGGCTTTCGGGAACCCTCATGAGAGGAAGGGGTGGACGGGGGTTTCGTTGTTGCTAACACTCGTAGGTTCCTGCTTCTTCTTAGCGATAATAAGGTTGTTCATCATCTGGCACCTCCATCAGATCTTGAAAAGTGCCGCTGCTGATCATGGTCGACTTGGGGTATCGGACGTCGTCACCGCTCATCGTACCCTCATAATGATGTCCTTGTCGATGGGCTGAGGAAAAGGAACGGGAGATGTGTAGATGGACATTGCAATGGGTTGTTGAGATGGGAACGAGGAACTACCTCTTCCTGAGCGAACGAACATCGGCCTTGCGCATAGATATTCCTCCTCGGTGCGTGCCTGCCCAGTCTTCAAGGCTACACATGCCATAGCCATTGCTGCAAACGCAGCTCGTTCCAAACACACACTCGCGTGCTAAGCCAGCAAAGACAACACAACAACAAAGCTACCCCTCAGTCAAAGGCACGACCACCGAGCGGTCTGCCCCTGGGATCCGAGACCTGAGGTCGAGATTCAAGATGCCCCGCGCCCCCGTCGCCGAACGGACTTACCCGCCGATTCGGTCGATGACCAACTGTAGCATCGATCATCAGGGGCTACGAGAAATCGCTGCACGGAGAAAGGCTGGGTAGGCGGGGCCACGCCAGGCGCGCCTTAGCGTCCACGATCGACGCATCGTTCCATAGCTCGGTGCCGCTTCTTCTTGTGTCTTCTGCACGGGTAAGTCGATCGGGCGCATTCCCAAATGCAAGCGCCCGCGTGCCCATGAGAGGGCATGGAGGGGTAAAGCCAGGGGCGCCGACGGTTGCATCGACCAGAAAGACACGCGGCGAGAAGCTATTGAAAGACAGCTCGTATGAGGGGCCTAGCTTAGGACGGTGAGCCGCGGCTTCGTTTGAGTCTCGGGTTCAGGCTAGAGTTGACAAGCACAAGCCGGATGGTTGTTCAAGGGGCGGGCAAGCTAGGAGTGTCAACAAGCACTGACATCTACACGAGCAAGCTCAGAATTAGGTAGCAAGCCCAACAAAAGCTTGACGGCATAGCTCCAGAGCGGCGGCGGGGCCACAGGTTACTCCGAGGCTCATGTCCTGACGACGCTAGGCCCCGCTGATTGAGGTAAAATGGCCTTACCTTATTGAGTGGAATGCGGATATGTAGGAGTGTCTAGGAATGAGACGTGCCCAGCCGAGGGGCAGAAGAGGGGTAATAATCGGGTTTCTCAAGGTCCGCGGTGGTGGCTTGATTGCTTCAGGTACAAGATGCATGGCGAAAGCAATAACTGACGGGGTTTTCGAGATGTCATTGTTGTGACGTAGTTCCCGTGGGATGTTTTCGGATTCGGAGTGTCGGACAATGGAGGTACGGTACAAGCAAACCGGGAGGAGGCAAACGTCGCGACGAGGGGCACGAGATCAAAAACTGGTGTAGGCAAAGATCTGAAGGAGTGGATATGATGTGCGACGCGGCTCAGCAAAAATTCCGCATGTTGTGATGCACGTATTCTGTCAACCGAGTTGATGGCGAGGTAAAACGGTACGAACAGATTCGCCTGATGCTCTCCCGTAAGAAAGTACTTGCTCTGTTGGGAAATGCATCGGTCTTTTTCTCGCATCGTATTCGTCCGTTCAAGGGGCAAAGCTGGTCCATGCCGCCATTGTGGCATCACATGAGACGCAGCGTGGAGCATCGCCCTTCCTGCAGGACAAGCAGTTACCTTTGGCCGGAGGAGAATGTCCGAGCATGAAGCTGAGAGTGTGCAATAAGATGGGTGTCCATACGGGGCAGTAGGAGCCTGAGGAAGGAGAGGGAAATGTCGGGACTTCTTCCGCATCGTGTTGTGATTGTTCCCAGTGGCTCGTTCGTCAGCCAAGGGCAGGGATCTCGATGACATACAGTCGTGTTGCTGTGGAGTGGCAAATCGGGAAACAGTCAACTGTTTCGTAGGTTGCGGGAATTTGCCGGGCTGCGCAAGTGCAAATTGAAACCCGCATCTTGCCGCATCCAGACTCCAGACTCCAGACTCCAGAAGGCAGAGGGGCAGACGCGGACGCAGCGGGTTGGCAGCGACGATGTCTGGATTCTCGAACGCTTTGGGCGGTCCAGAACGGTCCTTGTATGTGTTGCTAGACCCAAAGCACAAAGCTACCTGGCAGTGTCGTCACTACGCATGGAGCTCTGTTGCTACACGGCGAATCAGCAACACGGTGGTTGGCGCTGTCCAGTAGGCTTCTTGATTTGTGCTCACCCGGTGAAGCTGAGTTCGTGTGGTTGATGCTTGTCCAAAGCTCTTCCCATCGAATGTGCCTTTGCTACGTGCCCCCTTTGCTTTCATCGTGTGATCCACTGTGGCTGCGAGCCTGCTTGGCTTCTTTGGTGAGAATGTGGAGGTGCTTGCCAATATTGGGAGATGATGTCCCCCAAGCGGGTGGGGAAAGTAGACGGCATGATCGAGATTTGCAAAAATGCCATGCTCCAGGCAAAGAAGACGTGTTGGCTGGTTGGCTGGCCACTGGGAGCAATCGACAAACTGACGTACTTTGCCGTCCAGCATTACGCGACTGACGCGAGAATGGAGATGTCTTCTTTGCATGTGGCAATGGATGTCTTTGCTGCAAACGCGGATGGGCCAACGACAATGCAAGTCGTGCACCTTGGAGAAGTGGGGTCTTTTGTGACCTGGGACCGCACAAAACTTAGAGTAGGTACGTACCGTGGGATGCTGGAAGGAAAAGCCCAGGTGCCAGCCTCAATTGGAGGTCCAGGTCTATGCGGGGACACTACGAATCCCCTACCTACTTACCCACTAGGTATGACGTTAGTGCATTTACGTCCCCCTGACGTCACTCTTGGAATGCACGGTGGACGGATTGCCCAAAGCTCCTGCCAGAGCTGTAGCTCTCCCCATCTGTGGCTGGTGAGAATGCACCCAAACAGACAAGCTCCGCATGGAGCCTCTGGGAACCACCTGGGCCACCTTTTGCCTCTTGGTCATTTTCGATAGAGATCTCCCGTTGGCTCCTGGGCATTGGCCATACGATCCATCTCCAGCTCCCACTAACTGGAGTAACTGCGAAGAAAGTCACAGTCTATGACGACATTTCTTCAGTTCACATGATAGACCCTGAGCGTCTTTGCCAGATGGGGTGAAACTGCGCTCTAGCCATGAATAGACAAGCCCGGGAGTAGGGGCAAGACACGCGCAGGGAGAGACAAGCCCGATAGGCACGGCCCAAAGTATTGCATTCGGGAAGGGATCAAACGAGGGGGAGGGGCAGAAGCAGACGTGACGGAGGGGCAGCCCGCGAGGTACCTTCCCATGTTGTGCTAGAGCGTGAGGTACTCTCTTCCTCTTGTTCTTTCCCAACCGTGAGGTGGATGCCACTTTTACGGGAATGATCGAACTCAAACTGTCAGCGGGGCAACTTCCGCAAGGCAGGAAGGCACCACGCCGCAAAGAGGCAGTAGCTAGGCAGTAGCTGCCTTCCGTCTTGACGGGAGGGCGCCTCGATAGGGTGCTTCCAACTTGTTATATAAACCTCTTCTTCCCGTCACATCTCCCATCCTTTTTCTTCTCTTCATCACACTCACAAACAATCAACCTTCAACTCAAACAAACAACCCAACCAACCAAACATCCAACCTACTTCACAATGGAGACCATCAAGAACGCCGCCAACTACGTTTCCGAGTCTGTCCAGCAGGCCGGTGCTACCGCTTCCAAGGAGACCAACAAGCAGGTCGCCAAGGACGACAACGTCTCCATCGGCAACCGGTGAGTTCAGTCCCTCTTCAATATTGTACATCCTTCTAACATTTTCGTCTAGTGCCTCCGCTGCCAAGGACGCTGTCGGTGACAAGGTCGATGAGACCAAGCACGACTTCAAGGGCGAGGGCTACAAGGAGCAGGCCAAGCACTAAATCAATCCCACGATACCCAAACACCAGGGAGATTTTTCAATGGACAGGCGTTTGGAATGGATCGGGATACGCAATGAGGCAGGAATACCTGGGAATTGATCATTGATCTCACACCTAGAATAGCTTTTAATGCCACTGCATTGCTAAGATTATACGTTGTCTGCACCTTTATCTATGTGAATATTGAACAACTACTAATCAACGAATTCTTTCGATATTCGATCTTCTTTGTTCAATATAGTAGTTTAAAAAAAGAACGCTTCTGCGAAAGTCGCGCTTACATGATAAGTTATCTGATATCATCATGATGGTCGCCCCAGTACAACGTTTACCCTTGCAGGATTCCTGAATTGTCTCCGCTCTAATTGATGTCTTCCCCACGCCGGGCCTGGCGTTCCGGTGCACGGATCCCTGACCTAAACGTCGCAAGACGGCTGGACGTGACAATTGTCGGCGCGGCACAACTTCATCTACAATCACCAACAACGACACGTCGAGTCAATTACCCTGCAATCTTTTGCCCACCATGTCGAACGCGTCCTCAAGCTTGCCGCCAGATCTATTCGATCAAACAACCCTCGTCTCCCTGGCCGCAACTGTCGTCCTTTTGTCTGTCGCCATTGCCGTCTCTCGCCGAGTCCTTCACCCCGCCACATCGACGAGCTATCGCGTGCTCTTCGTTTGGCATGCCTTCGATGCATTGATCCACTTCTTCCTCGAGGGCAGCTTCCTTTACCATTGCTTCTTCTCCTACATCCCACTCGCCGACGTGCCCGACGCTGACCTCAGCGGTTTCCACCCGACCCCGGCCAACTTCCTCGGTCACTCGGATCGCATCTATGGTTCCCAAGCGGCCGGAAACAATCCCTTTGCGCAGCTATGGATGGTTTATGCACGCGCTGATAAAAGATGGGCTGGTGCGGATTTGGTATGTTGCCGAAGAGGCTGTTCGAATGACGAGACGTTTGGCTGACTTGATGGACAGGGCGTGATTTCGCTGGAGCTTTTGACCGTGTTCGGCGCCGGACCGCTGGCTGTTTGGATCTGCTACAGCATTGCTAAGCGAGACCCCAAGGTCAACATATGGATGATTGTCATCGCGACGGCAGAGCTTTATGGAGGTGAGTTTGTCACTGACCTAGTGCCGTCAACAAGTAGCAGTACAACTAACACCACCTAGGATTCATGACCTTCTGCCCCGAATGGCTGACCGGCAACATCTACTTAGATACGAGCAACTTCATGTACCTTTGGGTGTATCTTGTCTTCTTCAACATGTTGTGGGTTTTCATCCCTATCTACGCCATCTACGTGGCATACGGGGAGATTTCTGCTGCCTTCAAGACCCAGGGCGTTAGGAAGAACCTCTGAGCGTACATTTCCAGGCCTAGGAAGCTATTGTGTACTATGTAATGTCAGTCGTCACTCAACTACCCTTTTGGTAGCCATTGATCAAAGCAACGTGCGTATTTGCGATTCTGACCTCGAGAGCATCCATTCCTACTTAGTAGCTATATAGCCCTACATTGAAAGCTCGCTTGAATTGACTGTCGTGACGGAATACCTCCTCTGAAACCTTTCGAGCAGTATGAGCATGGGAAGGATGCCGATCCCACATTCCCTTCTCTTCTTAAAGAAGGGACCAAGATCTCGGGCATCGCGGTGTCCATCGGCGCTGAGGTCACTGGCGCGGGGGAGATACTCTGTTCGTCAACTAAGTGAAGGCCTACGAGAGGCTGACTCGCGGATCTCGTGAGCGCCTGGCTGAGCTCAAGGTCGTGGATTCAGCACACGAGCAGGCCCAAAACGCCCTTGGAAAGGGCGGAAAACTAAGACGAGACCCCATTACTTCGGTGCATCCTCTGGTGCGAACTCGTCCGGCAACGGGGGAGAATGCGTTGTACATCAAGCCTCAGTTGGCTCGCTTGATAGTGGGGTATGAAAAGAAGAGTGATGTTCTTCTGAACTTTCTCTACCATCATATGGCTTTGAGCCAGGATATTCAGTGCCGTGTCAAGTGGAGCGCCCGCTCCGTCGTTGTATGGGACAACAGGGTGACGACACATTCTGGTCTGGTGGATTAGTAACGGCCTCGCTACCGGTATATCGCTCGTCTGGCTGCTCAGGCTGAGGTGCTAACTGAGTGGATTCCTAGTCGACTTTCACAAGATTTGCCGAGGCTTGAGACTTGTTCAAGAGGACTGTTCGAAGGGATTCTCGGAACTTATAACTTGAGTTTGAGAAACCATGTGCTTCGGGGCCCTCTTCAATCTCTCTCATTTGTACGTGACTGAAAGGGGTTCACCAATAACGGCTGCACATTCATAGATCCGATATAAGGTGTTCAAAGTTGGCATTTGTCAATCGGTCACCAAGTTCGGTAGGAATAACTGTTTAGACCTTTCTGCAGATTTCTCCGACACGGCATTTACGACTACTTGTACATGGAGACGGCTTAGTATAGCATTAAAGCCAGGAAAAGAAACTTCCGTCCCGTATACATGGCTCTAGATGAGTGAGATACAGTCGTGCACCTCCCCATGATCGCCGCCATTCAACCTGAGCGGATAACTCGAACAAATTCGGCCCTCCCTTTGTATTGTTAAATCGTTCCAATATCGTCGTTTAGCACTGGTATAAGGATTAGCTTGAACCTGGCCGTGCCTGGTGAATGTTCTTACGCAAGCGGCATGCTGTTCCAGAGTTAGCTTGAGTCTTCGGGCAAAGCATCAATCAACAGTAGACGTAGACTTACACCGTTGAGACCAGCACCCGCGTTGTTCTTGACCGTACAGCTTATGCCTTCCCTGCCGCAAGAGCGCTTGACTGGGAAACCTTGCTTGCGTGCCGGCTCGACCTGGGTATTGATAATTTGGTCACACTAATTGAGGAAGTCAGCGATCTAGTTGTCAATACGGGCAATAGCATGTGTGATCTAGGTATACTCACGCAGTAAACGTATTGTCCCTATTGCAATATTTAGTCGCATGTCATATATGAGGGCTTTTCTCAATGATTTACTCACACTCTCACAAGTGAGGGCAGGGTCACTTGTTCCGTAATTACACCACCTTGTATCCGCATCAGCAGCAGCAGCAACTGTTGCGAAAAGTATAGCGATGAGTCCGAACTTCATGGCTAGATTGGAATCGACCGAAAGAGATATGGATTGATGGTTTAACTTAAGCTGACATTGAGACGAACATGTCCGCAAAGGGCAAGAGACATCATCGTATAAGTATCGCTTTTGTTAGGAGTCGAAGTCGGCGATGAAGCAAAGTCGGCGGCGTTGGAAGTATCGTTCACCGAAGTTAAGAGCCGGGGGGCCGAAGAATCCACTCGAGAGAAGACTCACAGATTGTCAATTGGGTTAACGAACTATCTGACCCGTGGGGTTTATGCTTTCTGATGGTGGATCAAAAGCCGTTCTGATTGATCTCATGGGACTAAACGGCTGCTAGGAAGTCAAATAAATTAGACGTAATTTGCTTAGCCACCTAAAAGTCCATGCTTTCTGAACATCCTACGAGGGTATTGCAAGATGCTGGCCGACATTTCTTTGTTTTTTACATCTACTAGGTAATTCCGGCTCTATAGATCATGGTGAATTTAGTACTACATCTGTTTCGTACGACGAGGTTAAGCGCAAGCATAAACGCCGCTTTTTTCTTTTACCACATTCCGTGAGCTTAGCTACTCGGGTTCTACTTCAGACTAATGGCGGGAGGGGAATCACAGAGGTTGTAGAACTTTTGGAAGCCCAAGAACGTCCGTATGATAATCGGTGATGTACATACAGGCCGAAAGCGAAGTGAGATGTAGCGCAAAGCCAATAGAATTTGAGCTCTGCCGGAGCCAAAGTATGTAGAACTTAGCCCAGCTCGTGACATAAAGCGTTGCCTCTCTAAGCTCCAACCGACGTTTCCGAGTGTCATTTGAGGTAAGCAAAGGTTATGGTTGTCACGGACTCTTGATCGGGAATGATTCCTTGATCGAGCCTTTTCGAGCCGGGCAACGCCAACCGGTACACCCGCTCGGCCAATTCCACATCCGATCGACCGAACCAGGGGCTGGATTGTATTGACAAGACGAAAGAATTAGAAGTAGAATGGGCGGAGGTTCTGTTTCAATACCGCCGGCATGAACACTATGAGATTCCCTATCGGCTTATTTGGTGTACGTTATCCACGTATAGTCGATGGGATACATACGTGAACGACAAGAATCAAACATATAATGAGAGCATTGGTTTACACGAACCGGGGAAATTCCAGTTAGGGGATCAAGACTTCTGATAAAACTTGACTCAACCCAAGAAAGCTGAACCACATCTGGCCAACGCTGGACACTTGTATACTTGTGGTCAAGGACCATGGTGAGAGCACTCATATGTTCTCTCACATAAGCCTCATCGGAGAGGAGACATGTAAGGTCTAGTATGCAAACAGCAATTCCAGCATGGGGGTTTCCATTGCTCATGTCTTTCAAGGCTTGATAATTGTCACAAAGCTTGCATGGAGTCAAACCAGTTCTTGTCTTGGGATATGTTGACGTGGTCGCTTTGGTAAGTCAGAATGATGATAGCCACAAACATTATGAGCTTGAACCCGCCTCTTGGCCTCCTGAGCATTTTCGATCTATCCGATTTTTTTCAACGTACAAGGAGCAAAGACTCCAAGCCAGAATGAAGCGAGAGTTTGCAGTAGATTGAGACAGAAATTGAGCCACGCCTCCTTCTCCTCCTGCCCCCCAAGACTAACGAGAAAGGGCAGGACCATGAATTGCTCCCCCGGGCTTTCTCAATCCGTCCTTCGAAGCGACGGCGTGAGCTCGAGCAGCGGTAGTTGAAATTCCTATTCCCATATGTCCCCAAGTTCCCAAACGCGACCAATCGGTGAGAAACCGTCCCAAAAGCAGTCCGGATGCTACCTCCTGCGACGACAAGCGGCGGCCTCGCCATCGGCAACACATACCGAATATCTTTGATACAGTACATTCTCACACCTGCATTATTGATAAGAGAAGGCCTGACGTGGGGCCGTCTGCCTTTCCAACCCCTACGTTAAGACTCCTACTGAGGCAATTGGTGACGAGAATCCGATCCTTCAGATGTAGCATATCCTCAAAGACCACCTCACGACGTCGTGACGACTGGTGGTTGACTCTGGGGTAGTATCTCAGATGCGACGACGGGTGCGAGAGAGGGCGGGAGGCGAGGCGATCTACCGGACGGTATGTGGGAAGTGTATCATCGGGCGTTACGGGGACCCTCGAAACCTCGCCAAATCGGATCAGCGAACAACGAACTCCCCACAACGCCCTGAGGCTCTTTTTTGCCCTTGTGGAGGATCTAATGTTTTATCGAACGAGGTGTTGGGGCGATAGCCCCGTGTAGTCCACCGTCGGGCTGCTGAGTCCGATGTCCTCGTATTGCCGTGAGGACCGTACTGGACCGGGCCGCCCACGTTTTGTTTCGAGAGAATTTCCTCGCGGTAAAGAATGAAGCCAATCGGGGATTATTTGTATTTATGAGATGTACGTAATCGGGTTCCAAGTACGGTTGTGGGAAAGTGGCCTTTGTCTGAAGGCCTTTGATATTCTCGGTGCCTGGAGCAAATGCCGTCGAGGCATCGGGGTGGCTCAAGCTACCTAACCTACAACCATGCTCGATAATATAGCTTGAAGACATTCAGTGACCTAGATAACTCTCAGACTATCGTGCTAGATGTTAAACCCAGGCGAGGCCCGGTGGCCGACATCCACCCTACGCTCTTCGATCATAATCAACTTGACATCAGTAAACCATCACATACGACCATACCCATTGGAAAACTCGGGATCCCGTCCGCTCTCCCATAGATAAGCCAATGAGGGCCGGATTAGTAGTTGGGTCGGTGACGACCAGCGAATACCTGGTGTTGTATGTTTTTGAAGTTTTGTGAAGCTATCGTGATCCACTTGTGGGCGGTGGGCCGCTGGTGGAGCAGCCGGACACTTGAAGTGCTCACAACAGAACCCGGAGCTATTGCGCATACATGTCTGAGTGTATTCAATGATTTGACTACTTTAGAAGTGTATTTGCCGTATTAAAATTCTTTTTTTTGCCATCAGATTTGGCGTGGATATCACAACGCTCAGTTTAGAATCTCACAAGACCGCCCAGCTACCGATTCTATGGCCGCGACTTCACTACCAACACCACGAGTCGCAAAACGTGACCCTAGCTTCATCGGCCATTCTTCTTAAATCAGCTAAATCGCAATCCATGTGCGACTTCCAGTCGCTGACCAAAGTTTACGTGAATCGGAGAACACTCTCTATTGGGTCGGCAATCTTATCTAAGCGACGGCTTATGAAGACTTTCGTCTTCGGACCGGTTCTATATCTTGCAATCAACTCGGAACAACCACATTCTCATCATCGTCGTCATGGATATTGCGTCGACTCGTGCTTCTCTGTAAGAGGTCTAGGCAAAGGCGGACGGGCCCGGGTCGGTGGTCTGTTGGGGGCGGAAACACCAGCTTTGTTCACAATGTTCAACCGGGTCCTTTACTTCTCAAGCATTGACCAAGATATTGTGCGGGGTTGGAATGTGGCCTTGTGGGCCACTTAGACGTTGGCTTTTGAAAGGTTTTCTTCTTATTTTTGACACTATCTTGATTAAGCAATTCATCAAAAAGGCTGGGCTAGAGTATATCTATAGATGGGTTTGCGCCGACCGGAACGAGATGACTACACTGGACACCGGAAGTAGAGCAGCTTGACGGAACTGAACTACGTGATCAATGTAGTGAATATAGTTCTTCATGTGTGATCGGCTTCGGCCACGAATCATGTGTCCCGAGTTTGCTCAACGCGGCCCAAGGTACACACGACCAAGGTCAAACAGAGCCTCCCGAGCAGTTCGCTCCGGCATGTGAACCACGCGGCAACGACGTTGCCGCCGTGTGTTGGGAAAAGCGAGAAAGCGGCATTACCGATGGAAAAGGAAATCTGGTGCCGCGCCGTCAATCCATCGTCGGCCCGTCTGCTTTCCACAAACGGCACGTATTCCTGCCGGCCGATCCAGGCAAGCCTAGCTAATGAAGAGCGGACAAGCCTGAGTAAGCAGTCTCCAGTCCTCAGTCCTCAATTGCCCCGCGCCGCACACAATCATCGTGAGTCAGTTGCCCATCTTCGTTTTCGCATCTCACCTGACAGCACTCTATATGCTCCATCGTCTGAACCAGAAAGGATTCGGATAGCCAAGCAGAGGGGCGGAGGGCCCTGCCGAAAAAAGGGACCATCGTCCGGTCGAGGGAGAAATACTCACCCAGTATACACGAGTGTACTACCCAGCATTGGCGACTATGCGGACCGGACCCTTTGGATGGCCAACGGTGAGCAACTATCGTCTAAACTTTTTATTCGCATGCCCAGCACTTGCCAAGGCGACGTACGTTGAGGTGAACGAGTCGGGGCACCGCTATAATTGCATGACGAAGCGGCTCTCTACGTCCAACACTTGTTCTTGTTGAATAGCCGGATCAAACACCGAAAGACGCGTGCAGCAGGCAGCGAAAAGCCGCCGACTCGTTCGTCGTCTAGGTATTCTTCTCTTAACGGTTCGTTATCTCATTAGCTCCAATGAAAAGTCAAATCGTGCTATTGACAACGCCTATTCCGAACCTGAATCGTTTTGGTTGGATAGATTGTTAGCCGTGATGCCGTGAACTCGCTCCCAGAGGACAGAGAAAACAAATCTCTCCCACTTTCCGGACGTCGAGCAGTCATTCGTAGGCGGGTTGGTGATGATTGGGATGAAACACCCGCGCCAGAAGAGGCTCACTGCTACCGCCCTCGCACTCACTTCAGACGAGTCCATAAACAAATGCTGTTAGATGACATTGGATGAGCCCCCCAAAGCCGCGGGGTTTAGGACAATTCTCAGAGGGGAATGAATGGGAAGGCCATGGAGAATGGTTTTGGATGGCAGTTTCTTGTCTTCCCCGTTTTCCAACATTTCGTCTCATAAACACCAGGTGGAGGTGGCAAAGTTGCCAAGAAGATTGCGTTGGTGATCCTCAAGCAGTGACTTCCTAGAGGCAGCTTCTCATGACGTCGGTCAAGACCCGTGAAGCCGGTCGACTGATAAGCTGCCGTGCGAGGTTGGTGATGTGGCCAAGTCAAATCCCAAGTGCGGCTCGGGAGAAGCGGCAAGCACCCGTGGCACCGTCGAGAACCATAGAATCATGGAACCCTCAAATGGAAGAAAGCGGCAACGTGGAATCTGCGAGTGGCAAGCGAGTTCGGGCGAGGGATTTGGCCCTGTCCGCTATAATTGGACATCGTAAGATGGCGACCGCGGAGGGGTAGTCGCGATGTCGCTCCCTTGGCTGTACGTCAGTCTGAATATCTCGTTTGATCGACGGCGAGGACCGGACCAGCAGCCAATGTGGGTCTCCCCGGACTGACGGGACGCTGGCGAGCCCAGTGATTCAATGTGGGCTTAGGTAGGGCGCGGCGACGGCCACAAGCCCGCGTAGACTGTAGTCCCTCATCATCTCGGAGCAACCGTATTCCACCGGCTACTTGGTCACGGCGGGCATTCTTGGTCGGTGGGGGCGATGCAGCCAAGCGTTGAAGATTCGGTTCAAGGTTGTGACTAGTGCCCCAGGCTAGCAGCGGCCTCAATATCCGTAGGGTTGACATGTTGGAGATTAATTAAAGTGTTTGACGGCCATTGGCACCTGATGCGGGTTGGCACCATTCTTGTCTTCGGAAGAATAGTGTCGCACTACTGACTAGTCTTTGAGCTTGTCCCCGTGTATCCGTTGTGTTGGAGTCGCCCGGAATCTATCACGGATGGCCCTCTTTTTCCCCCTCGTAGCTCGTATCAGCTGTCAATGAGGGGGACCAAGGGACAATCGACTCAAGAATCCAAAGGATAACTTGATGATCATCAAGAGATTACGACGGACGCGCCATCGTCTATTGGCGTCTCGTGGCAAACGTCGAGGGATCGCCCTTCCCCGCCACGCCCGCCCCCAAGCGAGCGACGGATGATGGACGTTCGCGTGTTCCTCCTCAGTAGTTCGCGCAAGGTGCATGTCTTGCTTGTCTCGTCACTTTTGACATGCCGCCAGTCGCAACGCCGTCACATTTCGTATGGGGCTAGGGAGGTCTGACGTGCGAGACAGATCTGGGCCTACTGTGCTCGCAGGGCTCGGTGCCGTCAAAGCAGCATTACCCTAGCCGTGGAAGGAATAGCCTGATGTAAGTGTGCATATTAGCAGGGCTGTTGACGGCATCGATCCTTGTCGTTGGCCCTCGTCCGAGCCCCTGTGCAGGCCATCTCAGCTCAGGTGACACGGCATCTGCCTCATCGCTCGAAAATCTGTGGAAACAGACGAACTTGATCAACAGTCAACGGGATTCGATTCGCCCATCACAGGCTGGTCGATTACCAGATGGTATGGGAACCATTGGATGGCGCCCTGTTCGAACTTGGAAGCTCTCCCTCAGTCCCCCCCCGGGCAGCCTGGCTCAAGATATTTGAGATTGAGAAAGGTTTGCAACGGATGCCCTGGCAACACCGAGCCCCGTGGCAAGGGTAGACACGTGCAGGAGTCCAGGACCAAGATAGCTGCAACAGCCCAGGCCCTCCGACTGGCAGAAACATCCCGTGAAAAGGGCTAGTGGGCCAGGTCGAGTCGATGAGGAAGTGAGAAGCCCGCCCCGCCGTGTGGATTGTGTTTGCACGGCTGGCTGCTGGCTGCTGGCTAGGCGTTGACGTTGACGCCGCCCTCTCCGTGCGCCTCCTTAGTATGTGCGTACATGGCCGCAGCGACTCACGATCGGGCATAATTCGCAAATTGCAGCGCTGACTCGATACACACCAACAGGCTAGTTTGCGCCTCTTTCAGTACTGGGCGTTCCTCATGTGTTGTTGTCCTGCTTGATTGCGTCGACGTGGCTGTGGACACATCGATTGCCAACCAAGGGTTTTTGGGCCGATGTGATCCATGAGGCCATTCCCAACCCATCTACCATCTGGAGCGTGGAGGAGAGCTTCTCGCATCAACCGAATCTCCAGAGGAACTCGGCACACAAGACCAGATTAAACAGCATCACAGCAAAGATGGGGCCGCAGAAAACGACACGATTGGGTAGGCAGAGTGGCAGACTATCGGGTTGTCGTCTTTTTGGAGGAGTCAAGGGGAGGGTTGGAGGAGAGGGGACGAAAAAGGTTTCGGCATCGCCATCAGCCGCCCCTTCCACAATCCCTGCGGCGGTTTGATCCACTCACTTGGCAACACTGCACTAGTCCTAAAACAGCAAGGCGCACAAAGGTTGTCTCCTAGTGCCCCCCAGATTTGGGGCTCAAGTCCAACGTCAAACCTTGTCGACTTCAACCTCATAGCCAGGGGCTCAGGCATTTTGGGCCACACTACGAAACCCAGACATGTTACATGACTGCTTCACCTCATCGCCACTCAATGCCATCGCCTCAAGCCCTCTCTCTCTGTCTCTCTCTCGTGCCCTCAACCTCACCCAACCTCACCCTCACTCTCAGTCTCTCGCCCACTCTCTGGCACTGGTCTCTCGAGCATCGACGCCGCGACAGTAGTAGACGCATGCATCGCTCCAGCACACACACCCTGCACCTCAGGCACCCTCAGCACATTCTGCCGGCTTGTTGCGACGGGGAGACTGTGTGAGAGCCCAGTTTTTTTTCCTCAGCCCCCCCTCCCAAGGTTCCCATGGCTTTCGTATCGTCCAGCAGCTGGAGCACCTTGCTCCGCTGGAAGGCAAGGGGCTTGAGAGGCAAGCACGGCAAAGAATCCCAAATCAGCCCAGCCAGAGAGTCGGCAGCGGGGTTGTTGAGTGTGACGAACATGGTTGTCATCCCGCGCCCAGCCCTGTCTTCCATGTCTACGAGGACCAAGACCAAGATATCTACCACACTGAACGTGACAGTCGTGACTGTATGGTGGCCCGTCGAGTCTACCCCCAAGGGCCCAAACCAGCAATATGCACGTCAAGAGACGTTCGCCCCATCTGAGCCCCTCACTGCCCATCATCCAGTCGCACGTCGACTCGAGGTACAGCCTGCGTCTCATTCGCTCGTTCTTGTCCCCGTCTTCTGGATGGCCCGTCTTTCCATCCTTGCTCTGGCCCTCTCTGCCACTCTGGTACATGGACTGTAGGCTACACTCCGTAGACTGTAGACTGGGAGACCATCCATCAGCCGTGTTGCCCTGGACCAAAGTTGGACTTGGGCCCCATTTAGCGGTTTGGCTAACTCTCCGGACCTCATCTGGCCCGCGCGGGGGCCCTTCCCGAGCCTGTCCCTTGCAACTTGCGACTATCTACGCAGTATGTTACCTGGCCCCCTGCTTGAGGTGGGCCTCTCTGTCTCTGCCACGCTTTCTGTGATCGCCTTTTGACCTCTTCATGCGGCCTTCCCTCCTCCTCCATCCCGTCTGACTTTTTGGAACTGGTCTCTTTTTCCCTCCTTCAGGCCGGTCCCTTTCCTTCTCTTGAGTGGCTGGTCCTATTACTCCTTGTTTCTATTCGTAGGTCCCGACTTCGCCTAGTGTCTGTTTCGTCTGGTTCGCCTTCTTCGTCCAAGAGCGGCAGTCCATTACCATCCATCCTGTCTTTTCACTTACTCTTTTCACTTCTCCATCCCATCCGTACGATCGCCATCCTTCTCCTCCTCTTCTCCTCACTCTCCTCGCCGTCCCTCCTCACCTCAAATCAACTACTCTTCACACCTTCCTTATACGACAGGGACACAACATCGACTCTTCTATGGATTAGATGGTTAGGAAAGCGAATTAATATCTGGCACCGCTGCGGCTCGACGCCTGCGCTCATCTCTTCGACCAGTGCCAGTTGAATAATCGACGAGATGGATAGCTGGGGATATGGAGGCGACCTGTGGACGAGGGCCGACGATGACAGCGTGACGGACGGTAATGGCGTGGCGGACTCATTACGAGGGCCGTTCAAGGCCACCAACAACTCGACATCAGCCATCATTAACCAGTTCCGCTTCCAAGCCGCCAAATCGATTCGAACCTCGACCATCATCCTCGCCGTCTTCAACGTTATCGCCGCATTTGCAACAGCAATTGGTATCTTTTGGGATGGTTATGCGACGGCCAAGAGGAACAACCAAAAGTTCGGCTTCAGGTATGCTCATCATTGCCGGCACGGATGAGCCAGATCAATGGACTAACACTCTGTTCCAGGACGCACGGATTCACCTTTGTCGGACCTGCCGAGTCGTTTCCTCTCGTTCTATCTGTCGGTATCGTCGTTCAAGGCATCGTCTTTGCCATTGCACAGTCGACTGGACTCGACCATCTCTTGACCTTGGGTTGCACCATCACCTCCCAAATGATGCTGCCTGGTTCGTAGCCCTCATATACTCAACCCCCGAAGCTTGGCTAACAATCGGATCTAGCGGTTTTCATTGTGCCGTACATCCAACTAGTATTCGCTCTCGAGGTGGCCATCCGGTCTCTACGAAAGAACCCACTGCCGTCTCGTGGCAAGTGGAATGTTACCATTTGTCTCGCCATCGTTGGCACTTTTCTTCTCATTACTTACCTCGTCACCCTCTTCGTCCGCCCTCCCAACTTCTGCTTTGCTTCGCTTTTCTGGTTCGTCCAGCGTTGGAAGGAGGGCTGCTTCGTACTCCTCACTTTCATCTCAGCGGCGTTGCTAGGCTCGGCTCTGGTCATCTTCTTCCGTCTTCACAACAACATCAGAATCGAGAACAGCGAGCGCATTGCCGCCTCTAGGATGGTGTACTTCCTGGCAGTCGCCTTCATTTCGACTGTGAGTATCAAATTACCACGCCTTGTCCAAGTCACCTACTAATCAACGCAGACTCTCCTCATCCCCTTCTTCTTCAACCTCTCTTTTACGGAACAGCGAGGTGCCACTGGCCAGGCCTTAACGCTTTCCATGATTGCCTCCGTCGTTGCCAACGTATCTGGCCTATTGACCGGCGGTCTGCATCTATTCTTGCGATCAAATACTTTGTCTACTATCGGCCCCCGCCAAAACGACAAGTGGGAGTCGGAGCGTAATAAACTCAAGGCCGGCATTCGTGTCTATAATGGCGACGATGATTACGAAAACCACATGATGAACCCTGTCGGCCGGGCTCGTTCGCTGCGACGCATGGACAGCACCGACAGCCTCGTGCCTGAGAAGGAGGAGGAGGCACGCATCGAGAGTCCCTCTGGGTCTCCCACCTATGCCAACCCTCTCCGATCCAACGCTGTGTGGCAGCCGGCTCGCTCTCCTCTGAGGACGCCGGAGCCTGTTCAGGTATCAACCTACCAGGTGCCCAAGGCTCATGCCCGCAAGAGGTCCTACTCCTTGTTCCCCTCTGAACAACAAAACAACACCAAGTCAATTACTCTGCTACCGGCGAAGACATATGCCCCGGGAGCGAGGATCGCTGACGAGGACGAGATGATGCTCCTCAGACCTCCGCCATCACTTCACCCCCAGGGTATCCGCCATCGTCGCGATTCATCGCTCGCATCTTCGGCGACTGTGCAGATTGGTCTGCGGCTGTCAAACGTCGACGACATGCCTCCGCTCAACTCACAGTACTTCCAGAACAATGCCAGCGTGAATAGTTTGAGCTACCCTGATGAGCAGGACGACATGCCTGCCAAGCGGCCCAGCCCCTTGGCGCAGGTAGACGTCCTGAGCGACAGCGGTTCATCCGACTCTGAGGAGGATGCTACCTTGGTCTCATCCTCTCCTATCCGACCTCAAAAGGATTTGCGGATGAAGACACTCCCGTCCGTTCCCAAGGTCACTGTACCCAGGCAGTCCCAGCTCAAGGATCAGGAGCCGGAGCAGCTCACTCTCAGCCCGGCGGTTTACAGGCCTGAGAGCCCTCAGAAGACGAGGGTGACCAGCCCTCAGGGTGTTGGCTTCAACACCCCTGCGCAGCGAAAGAAGTCGCCGGTCAGGTGCACCAAGCAGAATTGCCAATGTTCCGCTGAACACGACAAGCGCAACTGGATCTAAATTTGATCCGCCAACTGTACCAACAATGGCATTTATCGCACGCATTACAAAAAAAAAAAAACGAACGTTATAGACACTCGACTAAACCGGGCGGTAAAAAGCGTATGATCCAGCTTTTCGGCTACTGAACGGAGTTGCTGGCGAACTATTTTCTCTTCTTATATTTACTATTTCATTGGACGGCGTTTTTATGCGGAGATACCTGTACGACTAATAACGTCTACATATTGTTTGTTTCTTTATCTCTTATGGCGATGTGCCTCAAAAGGCACATTGTGTACGATCTGGGAGGGAGGAGGGGGACAAGGCTTTCATTGGACTGTAGGAGAACCCAGTAAAAGGAGGAATCAAGAGTCTCAGACTATCAAATGGAAGGATGGCAATGACGACGGTATGACTAGCTACGAGACGGACCTGGGTGAGCGGAGGTAAAGGCCACTAGAGGGCTCAACATCACAGAAGAGATAGCTCAATGAATCAAAGAGCTCAAACAATCATGATCTTGTCAAACCACGTGTGAAAAACTGTGACAAATGCCAGCCACCTCGCACACCACAACTGAAGTCTAGCAAGCGGACTGACATGAGATTGGGATACGAGTAGTTCACTGAAAGCACACCAAGTGTCGAACAGCTTCCTGCCGTGGTAGAAAGTCTGCGCTGACATAATGAAAGCCACAGTGAGGAAGGCGATACCCAAACAAGGCTGAGGCTTTCCCGCTTTACATAGCTTGGGGAGGAAACCTAATTGGAGACCAGCTCTCACGAGAAATCACATTGGTTCACACTCACCTTACCTTTTTATTCGACGAATTCCTCATTCTTTACCAGAACATGGGTTTAACCCCCTAACGGTATCATGGGGTACCCCGAACGGCGTTTTGAGGGTATCACGAGACTAGTGTGCAGAGAATCGGCAAGGCCGGCTATAACTAACACACAGTTGAACAGCCAGGCTCGTGGTAATGGATTTGATTTATTTTGATGCTCAAAGCCCTGCGAAACTCTATTACCCAACAAGCCAACGCAGTTCTTCTTTCATTTCGTCTTCTGCTGGTCTGCCTCAACACGCCTCTCCTCCCACTTATCCCAGCCAGCCTGGCATGGGTCTTCTTCCACAACCAAGTCCCGAAACCTGAACAGCCGCGCAACAGGCGTCTGCAGGCCCCAGGCCAAGAGCCCAAAGTCCCTCGCAATAGCCGTAACCAAGAACCAACCGATAGCACACACCGTCCCGGCCAAGCACCCCACCATCACCTGCTTCTCGGTATGGTAATTCAAGTATATCCGGCTCCACGCCACAGCAGCAGCGATGCCCAGCGCGGCGACGCTGACGACGACGCGCTCGACGAGCGAGTACGGCCGGTGGTGCCGGCGCGCGGACGAGGGACGGTGCCTGACGAGCAAGAAGAGGACGAGGAAGACGGACCAGTAGGCGACGAACTGGGCGTGGGAGCTGGGCATGCCGTAGCCCTTTCCGTGGATGCGGCGGGGGCGCTCCTCCTTGATCAGGCGCTTCAGGGCGAAGTTGATGGCTTCGCAGCCTAGCTGGCCGGCGAACATGAGGGCGATTTCGACTTCGCGGGTGGACCAGATCAGGGTCGCGTAGACGATGCAGAGGGCTTGCGGGAGCAGGGCGAGCCATGCGCAAAGGAAGGAGAGGGAATCGTCGGGGTCCTGGTCGGTTTTTGAGGTTTAGTTTAGCTAAGTCACTTGGTAGTAAAGTAGGTTGTCCCCCGGGTTTGGTCTCACATAGTAGACGTGTGTCAGGGAGAGAGAAGCTAGTGGTCTCGTGTCTTGGTCCATGGTTTTCGACTCGACTGCATTTGCCTGACCCCGAGTTTCGATGTGCCAGTTTCGATGTGGCGGGTCTTTTTTCTTGAAGGGCGGGTGACAAGGAGAGGGATCTGGAGTGTTCTTAAAGGCGAGATTCCACGTGCCTTGGGTGGAGGAGAGAGAGAGAGGTTGGGTGATCGAGGGGTGCCGGGCTGGCTGACTGACTGACTGACTGAATGACTCCTCCTAGGGGCTGGTAAAGTTAGAGCAGACGTCGCGGATCGTGGTGCACAGCACTCTGGAAATGTCAAAGTGCAGCTGTGCAGAGTGCACCGGGTCCTTCTACAGCCAAGCTTCTATTTCTTCTTTCTTGTGTACTTGCATAAATACGTCAGGTTGCATAGCTCCGAGCTCGGGCCAATCGGGAGCTTCCATCTCCCCGCCAGGGCGGCTCAGTAAAGACTTCGATAAGGGGACTTACCTTAAGGTAAATGTTCTGTGGCTTTGTGGCTTGAAGCCTGTAGGTCAGCCTGGACCCTTTGTGCCTTCCACATTCCCTTCCTGAAGTGGGTTGTGTTCTTTTCCAGGTCCTATCGGCCGAGGACTGACTGATAACGAATGACCCCACCGTCATTCTTTTTTGCTGCCTCTTTTTGCCCCGCGATTCCACCGGCCAAAGAGTCATCATTTCATTGTCTGTCCAAACAGACCGTCAGCCAATTTTTTTATTTTTTTTCTCGGATCCAGGCGCTCTTTGCAGCCGCGATCTCTCTTTCCTATTCCACGCGCTAAACTACCTACACTTTGGCCCAAGAAGAAAATAGAAGAATGGTCCCGTCATAGCCAGTCGCACTTCTCGCGGGTTCCGCGACCATCTCCAGTTCATTTCCAATCATCACCACAACGCACTCGCCAATACCACCAAAATATTTGCGACTTTCGCCACCAGTCGTCTCCCCGCGTTCAAATACCCATCTCCCATGTTCGTCGCTAATTCACACGAGCGCAAGAACCCACTCGCTTTTTGACGACTTCTTGGCAGGCTTTTATTTTGATTGTCCCCAAAGCATGAAATACGCGCCTTCCGACCAGTAGCCATGGACGACGATAGCGACGACCCGCGCCAGGACGAGCTCAGCTCTTTGCAGGCAATTTTTCCCGAGATCGAGCTCGACGACCACAAGCCCTTTTGCTTCACTATCGAGCTACCCGTTCATCCCGCGAAACCCGTAACGGTCACCTTCCCGGCCGCCTCTAATGCCGACGACACAGCCGCCGCCCAGGTTCCCGGCGTCGAACCTCGAGTCGACTCCCACGAGCTCTCGCACCTTCCGGCCGTCGTGATCCGCATGGGTTTGCCCAAGGGCTATCCCTCCGACAAGCCCCCGAGCGTCAGCATTAGCACATCGCCGCCGTGGATTTCCGAAGATGTGACCAAGAAGTTGGAGGACGACGGACCGAGATTATGGGAGGAGATGGGTCGCGACATGATCGTCTTCTCTTACATTGACCAGATCCAGCAAGCGGCTGACGAGGTGTTTGGAATGGTGGATGAAGCTGGCGCGCTGGAGATCGACCCGTTACACAAGATTGCCATTCTGGACTACGACATTGAGGCTGCTCGGGCGGCATTCGAGAAGGAGACCTTCGATTGTGGTATTTGTCTCGGTATGCTTGTCCTCCGCACCCAAAGGTTTATGGCTGCTAACGTTCAATATCGGCAGATCCCAAGAAGGGTGCAATGTGTCACAAGATGCTTGATTGCGGGCACATCTTCTGTACTCAGTGCTTGCAGGAGTTTTACAGTAATGCTATTACGGAAGGAGACCTGGCGACCGTCCGCTGCCTCGCTCCGAATTGTTCCAAAGAGCGCGCCGAAGCGGCACGAGGCCCGGGCAAGAGCAAAAAGAGAAAGGTCAAAACCTCGATCAGCCCTAGTGAACTGCTCCAGATGGGACTGCCCCAAGATACGGTGACTCGCTACGTGACGCTCAAGTACAAGAACGAGCTCGAATCCGACAAGGACACGATCTACTGCCCCCGGTCGTGGTGCCAGGGCGCGGCCAGGTCCAAGAAGCACAGGAAGCCCGAGGGACTTGAGACGATCGATGAGAGTTTAGATGAGGAGACGGAAGACGAGACTGACGCTGACGGAGAAGACGGAGGGGGCGAGAAGAAGAAGAAGAAGGTGAAGAAGAGCTTCGAGACTGGAGATCTGCTGGCCATCTGCGAAGACTGTGGCTTCGCTTTTTGCAGCCGCTGCTACCAGTCATGGCATGGCGAGTTCATCAGATGTACGCCCAAGCGAGACACGGGCGAGCTCTCCGAAGAGGAGCAGGCCTCGATCGATTACATCAATCTGCACACAACGCCTTGCCCTACGTGTGGTGTACCAGCACAGAAGACTCACGGCTGCAACCACATGATCTGCTTCCGCTGCGCCTCCCACTTTTGCTATCTATGTTCGGCCTGGCTCGACCCGAGAAACCCATACGCCCATTTCAATGAACAGCCCAATGGCAAGGTCACTTCCTGCTATATGCGCTTGTGGGAGCTTGAAGGTGGCGATGGCGACAATGTCGACATTGGCTACGCTGGTGGAGCTCAACCAGTGCAGATCGAGCGGCTTTTGGAGATGCCGTTTCCTCCCAGGGAGCCGGTTCAGGTTATTGACCTGGTTCCCGAGATCGAAGAGCCGGATGACAGCGATTCAGATGCGGAGGCGGACCAGCCAGCACGTCCTCCGGCGGCGGGTGGTGTTGCTCGAGAGGGACCGCTCGTTTTACGTATAGAAGCCAATCCAGCTCCCAGGGGAGGTCGAGGAGGAGCAGGAATCGGAGCAGCACTTCACGGTCCCATCCCGCCGGCCGCGCCGCAGGCACCGCCTGCTCCTGCGAGAAGAGGGTTCCCAGCGGCTCGAGGCGGACGTGGCGGACGTGGAGGTCGTGGTGGTGGTCGTGGTAATAACAGAGGCGGAGCTGGACAGAACCAGCAGCAGGAGGCTCGACGGGGCGGCGCGCCCCGTCGGCATGAAGACCTTGACCCCGATATGAGAGAGGGTCTGGGTGCCGGCGAGCTCGACGCAGCGCAGCAGGCTTGGATCAGAAACTTTGTTCAAATGGCGTTGGTGGACCAGGAAGAGGACAGCGACGATGACTGAACGAAACGCAGGTTTACTGTGAACTGGATGGAATTAATTTTGGTACAATCGGGCGGGGCATTTACCTTTTGGTAGCAGGGGGCATGATACTGCTTGGTAGCATGGCAAACTTGGAGACGATGATAGCACGATGGAACGACGAAGATCTGAGAAGACGATGATGTTAATGAACTACAGAGTATAAACACTTGACTGGAACCTGAGGAAACGTGATGTGTGGCGCTGTGATGTGATGAAGAGGCAAGTGTCCAGCAGCGTGCCGGCCCAAGGATCGTTGACCCCCCGCTCCCCTTTCTCTCCATGATGATCGGCTTTCGATTCAGGTGATGGACAAGGAAGGTACCGGCCTGTTGTGTGACTGATAGCTTTGTTCACCTCGGTCTCTTCAATTCTCATCACCCTTTCTCTCGTTCACTACCTCTGCTGCCTCTAGTCCTGAAAGATCTTGGTGTCACGACTAGCTGCCTGGGTGCGAGGTTATTACTTTCGCGGTGCTGGCATCACCAGTGGTACAGGCTAAATCGCCAAGGCAAAGTTACAAATTCAAAGCCTCCTTTGGCAAAAGTTCCTTCAGGAAAATATGCGGTGGCTGGGGTTTGCGGTATTCACATGACTTCAGGTAGATGTCGGGGCCAGATGGCAGCCAGGAACCTCCTGTCATCCCTTTCCAGATTACTTGGCCACTCTCTCCCCCCGTCTCGGAACCTCCCCTCCGTTCAGTGCTTGACTTTTGAGTACTCCATTCGATTCTAAGCTATACTCACGGCGAAAGAAGACATGGCATACTTCGGGTATCGAAAGAGGATTTCAACAGGATAGCTAAGCCGTGTTCACTTGCCTTGATCCTTTTGGCTTCCTCCTTCCCCTATCTCGGATATCCCGTCCTCAATCTCCCACTCCCAGATTCCTCTCGGATCGAATAATCCCCGATCCCCCTTTCCCCGTCTATCCTCCCCCCGACTGCCGAGCTCGATTGATTAAATGAATAACCTACAGATTATATCCGTACAGATACAACGGGGACATGAAAGACGGGGGGGGGGGGCAACAAGATCGGTGTAAGGATCAAGGAGATGTGATATTCGAGCCGGGGGAATAACCCGTATCCATGGTATGTACGGGGAACATCACAGGAGCAGTAGTGTCTAATTCCCTCACCTTGAAGCTCTGAGCTCGGTGTACGGAGATGACCACGTATTATCCAGACCTTGAACTTCAACTTCAGGGTCTGATGAACCCTCCCCTTGAGCCGAGCAAGTTAACGACGAATATGTGTGATGACACTGGCGCCCGACGGTACACCGCAGCTTCCATCTCGCTTGAACCCCTCCCAAACCATTTCGGAATCCGACGACGGCATCTGTTCTTGCCTCTCGGGGGACGCGTCCATCCATCCAGCCATTCAGTCCATCCACCCATGCGAACGATATCACAGAATCCAGGCCGATATATCACGAGAAAGAGTAGGCGCAAAATTTCCACCTCGATGGAAGAGATGGCGAGTAGACCCGACCCAGACAGCTTCCTTCCGCACGCACGAATAGAGACACGAGAGAGCGTATAGCCTACCAGCATAAATATCAAAAGACAATCACAAGAGAACCAAGAACAAACGGGCTGGGCATTCAGTCACTGAGAAGAACTTGACCTCCCTTCCTCGGACATTCCCATCAACAGAACCACACGTTTCTTCTCCAACTGTTCATCTCCTCTCTACGAGCATTCCTCTTCCTTCAATATCCCAAACTTGACAACGACGGTGACGACCATCTTGAGACGTTCATCCCTCAAATCACGCAGAATATAACGCAACCCAGCCTAAGCACAGATCTCTCTCTCTCTCTTCAAATCTCGCCTGTCCAATGTCCACTCGCGCCCGCAGGCGCGGGGGGGACAGGAGGTTACGTTGTATTGTACTATGTACCGACTTACCGTTGCATTTTCATACTGATACATGCATTCACTTCACTCACTCTTCTCCCTCACTGTCCCCATCTCTCTCTCTCTCTCCTGTCAACTAACCTCTCTACTCCGCCAGCTTCTCGGCTTCCTGCCTTATAATCAGGGGGGCATATTGGAAGGCTGCCGCCTGTCGCCCGCGGAAGAGCTCGTAGGCAAGGCACAAGGTAGCTCTGGTTTCTAGCACAAGTGGGGTAAAGGAGAGGCAAGGCAAGGCAAAGGCAAGGCCAGCCCCAAGTCAGCGTCGCAAACAAGAAAGGGGACAATTGTGCAACTCTGAATTCAAGGGTAGCAAAGACTCAAGAGAGAGCAAAAGTAAAAGCAGAAAGGGGAAAGTAACCCCCCTTCCCCCTCCAGAGCTACTGAGAAACGGGTGCTACTCTATCCAGAGGAGCTCTAATCTGTACTATGCTACTCTACAGTCTACACTACCTACTCTTTGCTCTTCGCTGCTACGCTTTCCGGGGTGCGTTGCTTGGGGGTTAGTTCAACGGCTTTTCCACACCTTCCTCCTACCTAGGTACCGTGCTACCCTCCTTCCTCCACCCCCGAGAGAAGCAGCGGACCGCGTGATGGGTTACACGGTTGGACGCGGATCGCGGGCCAGAAACGGCGGGCAGCGGGATAGCTTGTGCGTATGGTCATTTGTGTCGTGATGGTAGTGGGCGGAAATGATATGAGGCAGAGGACCGCACGCGAGGGTTCGTTTGTAGAATCGTTGTGAAGGCTAGCTTTGCGACCTGCCCGTACAAGTCTTGAAGTGTCCCGCCGGGCATGTCGTCTGCCGGATGGAAACAAGGACCAAGGACCAAAGAAACCTGAACCACCACCACCACCCCCCTCCCCAGCTCTCAACCCAGATCCCGCAGCCTTTGCTCATTTGCGAGAGGATCAGGTAGGTACGAACGGATAGACCCCGAAAAACCCAGGCGGATCCGGAAAGAGGAGAGGCGAGCTTTGAAAGAGAGAGAGAGAGGGGCTCCGGGGGGTTCACCGAAGGCGTGGCAACCCAGCAAGTAGATTAACACAAGAAAAAAAACATCCGAAGAGTACGACGGCACTAACACAGTTCGCTACAGCACACTGTGGGCATCGTTGCAGATTTGCAGAGTTAAAAGGGGGGGTGGAAGGGGCGTGAGTTCGAGTGTGATGGAGGGGGGATGTGGATGGGAATGGGGCCATTCAAATCATTGCCCAAGTGGATTTGGTCTTAAGATCCAAGGTCTTAAGATCAAGGTTAACTGTCCACGGCCCCAAGGCCCTTGATGTTCCCGTACGCCGTACGTCCCATGGCAGGGAAGCATGAGCGAGGGTGAGAGAGAGAGAAAGAGAGAGAGAGCCTCCAGAAGAGGAATACAACCAGAGACCGAGAGAAAGAGCAGGTAGAGGAGGGGTGCCACCTATCAAGCTCTGATCGCCGTCGCGTCTGCAACCCGTATAGACACCCTCCCCTTCTGTCAAAATCAAGCTGTAGGTAGTGGCGTCAGTGAAAGAACAGGTAACCTCGTCGCCGCCGCCGTCGCTGCTGTCCGTGCCGTCGTGTTGGATATATGTTGCCACCGGGACAACTGCTACATACGTAAGGTTAAACCCACGACCGGCGATTCGAAGCAAAGAAGCCATCGACGGTCATAAACTGGCAAGGCCCGAGATCTCCGGAGCCTTCGTCCCTGCGCGGGTTGGTGATCACTCAGTCTCGACCCTCAAGTATTGGCCCTGCGGCAGTATGGCCATGGCCGCCATCTTCTCATCTTGTCTTCTCGTGATATTGCTCATGGATCATGGCCCCGGGGAAGTCTGTACCGGATGGGGATCAAGCACGTTGACGACGCCGGCGAGGAAGTGGAGAAGGGGTCCAAGTGCCGTAGGTTCTATGCAGTCGTGGAAAGAACCCACGTCGTAATCTTGCTGTGATGGATTCTCGCCAGATTCACACTTTTCTGCTGAAGACAAGTGGAGTGTGGCCAAGAGTGGGCGAGGCAAATGTTGGCGGTGGTGGAGGGAGTATGGAAAAGACACGCCCGCCCGCGTGTCGACTGACGAGGCCGGCGTCGCAGCGTGCTATGGTACTGACAAACACCAAACACGGTGAGAATATGAATAGAAGCTCAGCCAAGCCGTCCTGGCGTGCTTGCTTACCAGCTCTCATAGGCAGCGGCCAAAGGAAGAGGAGAGAAAAAAGGTTTCTTGTCCCTACGACCCTAGCTCCACTTTTGCTTCGGAAAGAATCTTGCGATTCAATACGACTCTATAGTGAGCGGAGGAGGGGGAGAGGGTTTCAAGAACTCCTTGCTCTGACAGTCGCGCGAGTCGTCGTGGCAGGAAGCATCCAGACCCGATCATCATAATCGTACGAAAGATGGTCTTGCGCCCCCTTTTCTGTGATACGTTCGTCATCGCAAGAGTTGCTGTCCAGTGCCCACGACAGTCGTCGTCGTCGTCGTCGACGCCGCCCACGGACATTGTGACCGAGGCGGGGAGGAGCACGCCGTCTGGGTCTAGGGATTGATAGACACAAGGGGCCCTGAAAGTGGCGGCCCCCAGGATGGATGACAGCGACGGCGTTGGACACGACATCATTGACTAGTTAGGTCCTCGGTGCCTTGATCAGGGGGAACCAAGGAGGCGAATCCAGTCACCCTGTCAGCACGCGGTCTACTACTTGCCGTTGCATTCTAGAGTGCTTTGCCGCACCGCCGATGACATCTGCGTAGGCTTGCGTTTGCCTATCGATGGGATCTGTGTATCTGCGATCTCGAGAACTGGCCTGCCAAAGTATCATCAAAGTCGAACCACAAGCGAGGCAAGAACGTGTATCTGTGGCCGCAAACCTTTCTACCGAGAAGACCCTCGCAAGGACTAGCCAAAGATTCCTTCACAGAGTTACGAAAGTACATTGGACGAAGAACGTCGCCATAGTTGCAAATAGTCACTCACCCGCATCGAGACCAGGCACACGATATTTTCCGGGTCAGCATGTCTTCTTCCGCGCCAAAATTCGACACTGGCAGAGCGGCAGAAAAGGTGTGTGTTATCGTCGTGACGAGAGCTAGGATGTCCACGGCTGACTGGCTGCTAATCGGAACACTGTTTTGCTCCCGGAGAGGAGCTGTCGAGTTATGAAAGCTGTCATTCCTCGCGTAGCTACAATAAGTTCGAATGGACCCAGCTACAAATTATGAGAAGGCTTAACAGCGTTACTATTGCAGCATCGCCAATGGAGCCAAACATTTCCTCGTGGGTACAAGCCTCTACCGGACACGCCCAGAGCCGTCACACAATCCCCGGCCCTGAGTCGGTTGCGAGGACTGGTGCGCTGCAGGAGCATATGCACGGGGATGAAGGGCCAGCAGATGTCGTTTGCGATAGGCCTGAGACCCTCCACTCCAAGTGTGCTTTGGAATGCGACGCTACTAACGACCGTTCACTCTCAATGTCCCACAAGATGTAGGGCGGACTTCGAGACAGGCGGTAGACCGTAGGGCAACGTAGGAACCGTTCGAGTGGGGATGGGCTTGCACTAAGAAACGCCACGATCAGAAGTAGCCGCACTTTGTTTCTGATGTCGACGTCTGCCCCCAGAAGCTGTGCTCGTCGACGACAACCCAAGATGCCCAATTGGTCGTGGAGATTGGTCGGGAAAATACAAGGCTTTGCAGTCGGGCCTTCCAGGCTAAATCGCCGTCGTTGAGCGGGAGGAGGGGATCGCGGTGCCGGTCAAGCCCCCCCGTTCCTTGCTTCGACTTGCGGACAAGGATTAGAAGGGGTATCTGAGTGCAGAAACAAGCAACGACCAGGGTTTGAGAAACAAAAGCTCCCTCGGAGCTCTCGCAAAAAACAATCTCATCTCGGGATTGTGCAAAAGAAGATAACGCGGGCGGGATAAAGGGGGGCGGCCGATGGGTCGACATGTTCGCGCTGCGGGGTACATATCTTGACAAGGACCTGAGAAACAATTCGTTTGTTTGTTTTCACAAGCTTGTTGCATTTGCCGATGGGGTTCGGAGGATATCGACTTCTTTTTGCACAGCCGCTCGCCATCCATCTAATTTTTTCAATATTCCCCATCGGTCAATATCCGTTCCCTTCACCATCGTTCGTTCGTGCATGGACGGACGGCAAGTCGGAGTGTATGTGTGGCCATTCAGAGCCACTTTCATCGGCCCAAGTCGCGGATCCTTCTTTCTTCTGCAATGGTACGGAGATTGGGTAATACCGGGGGGCCAGTCCAGCATTCCCAATCCATTGGCAAAGCCTCATGAAACAAAACGGCCATTTCTTACTGGAAGAGTCCGAATGATGATAGGGCTGCACCGCCACATATCGACAGCGATGCAATTGTTCCCGTTCCAAGTTGGGAAAACATGGACATTGCGACCATTTTCGGCCGAGATCTCCATGTTGTGCCATTCGCCTCGTCGCCGTTATGTAGGTAATCTCGGGTGATACAGCAGCATTGATGGGCACCATTTCCCGCCGCCCACTATAATTACTCCAGACCTGTGATTGGTCATAGCAGCATGACGGACTTGCTTGATGAGAGTATCGCCAAGTCGGGTGCTTCGATACACGCTGTGATGAACGTAGTTTAGATTGTTTGGTCGCTCCAAGAGCCTCCAAAGGCCTCGATCAGCATCGCCATCCGTAAATGAGGTCATGTTTGGGCGATCCGGTCTGGACTCAGTGGCAGGGTTCAACCCTCCCCCCGGCAGACGTGGTAAAATCAAAACATGTTCAGAACAGCCAAGCGCGCCAGTCTACAGCCCCTGCGAGTGATGAAAGGTGTTCATCAGTGACCGGTCGTCCAGCCAAACAACAACGTCTGCAGAAGTGATGCTAGACCTGGACCTTATGTAGGTTGTTCGGGCTAGGTGCTTCTCTAGGCCCTGGAAGCCTTTCTGATCGCCCTCATCATTTGTCAATCATTGTCGACACCCCGGCAGTAGTTTCGGAACGTGAGGCCGATTTGGAAGGCTAGTCGACGCGGCAACTGTAAGAGCGCAACGTTCAATCGGTCGTTGGCAACGGTATCTGTATCCGTACCAGAGTACGGATACTGCGCTCAGGCCCCGCATCAGGCTCGCAAAGCATCTGCGTCAAGTCTGGGAAGCTAGTTGGATCATGCGCCGCCACAAGATCGCTTCCATCTGCTAGTCCAACTGCTCGCTTGTATCGCCTCGGTTCACTCGCATCTGGGTAGCTTGACAGCCGACGCTTTCCTGGCTGGCACAATGCGAACCGTGTCGGCGCATTTTGCACCATCGTTCCAAGATTTGGAGCTAGACGCGAACAGTGTGCCCTAGGCGGCAACTCGCAGCAAGGAACACCATGCTGTACTCTTCACAGGATGTCCCAATCGCGCTTCTCGAGTTCATCTTATGATATGTGTGCCGCCTCAGACTGCTCGGGTATTGCATGCAAATCTTCGGCAAGCCTTTCCTTGAACAGGACGCAACCCAAGGGACAATTGACGATGAACTAAACTTTGGCGACGAGCCCACACGTGCGGCGGCTTGCGCCCGTCAGTGCGTCTGCAATGACCAACCTGCCGCCTGCGAGTCAACGGCGCTGTCAACTCGAGGTAAGGGCCCATTAGCATTTGCCGGGGAGATCAGCGCCAGGGCCGTGGCGGCCGTGCTGACTCAACACTGACAACCTTCATCCATCGGCCCATCTCTTGAAGATTGGGCAGTTAGGGCCCAGGGTGCACCAGGCATCGCCAGGGGGACTCAGTTCACCTAGAACCGTCGACCAATCGAGCGAGGTGACGAACGGAGGGCGGTAGCCTCTTCGCGGGTCTCGCGAGGGCGTGAATTTCGGGAGATGGGAAAAAAGACGATGTGGTTCTCAATCGAGCAGCAGATTCCTTATGAGGACGGGGATCATCGTCCCAAAGGAGGCTGCTGTGCCGGAAACGTGCCTCGAAAGGGCTTAGGCGTGAGTGGAGGCCAGATTAATTCGTTCATGACCGGAGAAATGTGGATGACAATTGCATGGGGCGGCCCTCTTCGGTAAAGACGGTTTGCAACTGTGACAAGGTCCAGAGGAGATGCTTGGCAGAGAGAATCAGGGAGTCTTGCGCCATTCTCGTGTCCCCCCATCCCCATGCCTCCCCTGGATGAGAGTGACCCCCAGGCTTGTTTCTTGCTTGTCTTGTCGTCTCTAGTGTATGTGGGAACTCGGGGAGCATGGCGTGTATGTCGTCTAGCAGTGCCACAAAGAGCCGACTGCCGCGCGAGAGCGAGCAACGGCCCTTGAGAGCTCTCATTTCGTCCCCGCCGCTGTGGCACTCTCAGGTTGTTCTCTGTCGATCCATCGTAATCCCATGGCTTGTTGGTACACAGTACTTGTCTCCATGCTCCATGCTGTTGGAGCGACCCGATTCGGAGATTTCATGACCTTGAATTCTTGACGCGTTGGTTGCAACACGAAATCCATAAAACGAGCAGAGCCGACTGTCTGGAGCCGATTTTTTTGCGCCTTGTGGCTGCCGCAAATGTTTCAATCCCCGGTACGGACGGTCTAAGCACCTGCATCACCAGCTAGTCATGACCCAGCGTGTGCTCGGGTTCGTGCCTGTCGCAATGCCAAGTGTACAGGCCAAAATAATGAAAACACTTCCTGTTCAACTGGCAAATAGTGCATCAGCACATCGTTGGTGTTGTGCAGATGTATGCTCGGAATAGGGGCCACTCTCATTGGGAGGGTTATATCGGATTGCAGATATAGGTCTTAGCCCGTCGGTTAATGGCCATGGGTGGAAAGGGGATAATCTCGGTCATGAAACCCACAAACAAGACTTGCAAGTTCTTGTTTCCCGAAGCCATCAACAAGTACGCAGTACGAGTGACAAAGGCATGCATTTGAATTTGTATTAGGAAGTGCCATACCAGACGTTGAGCCCCTTGCGGCAGGGAACGTACCGAGGCCGGCCATGGCCGAGTCGTGATTGTGGCTGTCAATGGTTTTGCTGTTTATCTGATGTAATTTCGTGTTTCCCATGTCTACACAGCCCGGTCGAGCCCTGTCAAGTGTTTCGATCTCGAAACACAGACCACCGCCCGACCAAATCAGTTATTCATCGAGAGGTCGAAACAGTCCGCCATCGAGTGCCATGCTCCTCTGTTCAGATTTACTTCTCCACCAGGAGCAGGATGACGAGAATTCTGGGCGACGGTCGGCAGAAGGTTGTCGAGTCCTCTCGAGAACCAATCAGATGTGCATCGAGCAGCAAAGAGGGCCAAGGCGTGACAGGGCCCGTGAGGGCCGTTAGGGGCTCCATGGTGGACCGACTAGGACGAGGGCTAGTCGGACAAGCAGGCGGCAAGCCATCTGCACAAGGTATCCGCTTCAACAAGAGGCGTGACGGCCCCGTGCCCGCACGATCTCGCTGGAAATTCGCCGTGAGCCCCCTTGAATACCCCCTGGACCGTTACATCCAGCAAGGGATGCTTCCGCCGCGAACGTTGGTCTGTGACGAGGTCTGCGACTTGGACGGGGACGCTCTCTAAGTGAGGCGCGTCAAGAATAGCGCAGGAATCGTACCAGCTCTAGGCAAGGCCCGTGGATCGCGGGTCGAGTTGTGAAAACCCGCAAAGTGTGGGAAAGAGATTGAATATTGGCAGGGAAATGTTTCTTAGACGAGAGCCGGGAGAACTCGGCCTCGACAGTCAGCAGTATGAATTGTCGTGGTGTCTGAAGTTGTGGAAGGCTCAGGGTAACTTCCGTGCCGTGGCTTTGGTGGCGTGCTTCTAAACGCTCCCGTAGTGGCGGTACAGCAGCGGATGCGATCGACCTTGTAGCCGCGCCGCCGGGGACTGCCAGTCAAGGCGGCTTCCAGGAGAGGATACTCGTACGACAATCATCTTGCGGGATCCCGATGGAGTGTTCCGTAGAGGTACTCGGGCCCGTGAGGTGGACGCCGTAATTGCAAGGTTGCCATATGACAGCTCCGGACAACATGTGCTCAAGCGGCCGGTTAAAAGCACAAACAGTTGTCTCTTCAGTTTGATCCGAAAACATGCCGCTTCCGGATGCGGAACAGAGCAGGCGATAGCCCTTGATAGGCGCGAATACACGCATGTACATGGTTTGAAGATTGAAGAGTTTTGGCAGATAGCGCTGCTTGTAAAGTGCGGTCCTTGCCCTCACTTTCCCCTTCTTGCCTCGATAAACACTGCACGGAAGGGGGAATAGTTATGCGTAGCAAGCACTATACTAGGCCTTCTCGTTGTGAAAAAGACCAGGCTCGATTGAAGTTGACGTGGTTCCCGCGTCGTGCTAGTTGACTGTGCGTCTATTAGCGCTGTCACTTGCATGCGTAGCTTAACGGCTTGGATTGTCGGTGCCGAGCGCGCAGACCAGCGGTATCCACAGTGACTGACACCTGCTGTCAGGTACTCCCAGTTGACGAAGCGCGCGTGAGAGGCGTCATCTAGGCCTTACGCTGGGGGCCCAGGTCGAGGAATCGAGGAAGCAGTCTGCGAACGGCAGCTTGAATGGAGGCCGACAAAGAGGTTGGAGACCAGGGTGACGGGACCAAGAACCAGAGCGGGCGGCGGCGGCGGCGGCGGAGAAGAAGCCTGGAGGAGGGCGCGTTACCGCGGCAAATCCGAGTAGAGTTTGTGCTGGACATGGGACCTAACAAGACGAGGGCGCGGGATGGCAAGGTATCGCAGTCCGGAAGTGTAAAGTGAGATGAGGTTCAAGCTTGGCTGGCGAAGTGCCTCACCCTCACTTCGGAAGGTGACAAGGTAGACGAGGCTTCAGATATCGGTCAGTTCGCGCGCGGAGTTGGAGTCGACTCCAAGAAGCAGTACCCATATCCGTTCAGTAGAGTAGGTACGGAGCAGAGAAAGGGCAACGGCAGAGCAGGGGGCATTGATCAAGTGCCTTGCGGTGTGCTACCTTGTGGCATGAGGTAAGGTGCAGTAAGGTATCCGTACCTAGCCTGCAGCCGTAGGTATGGAGGTACGTAGGGAAACAGGAGCTAGGAAGAAGGAACCGAATGCAACGGCGCTGGCGAGAGTCGCGATAAACTTTGTTTTGGGGCGAGCCAAACAGAGAGAAGCAGGCGTCCGGCGTACCTGAGAAGGAAACACAAGCGTTTGTCCCCTCGATCCAAAGTAGAGTGTGGGCTGTGTGGTACACAGTGGTGTTGCGTGGGTATTAGTTGCAAAACAAGTTGTGGGGGACGTGGAGAAGGTGACGGTGATGTGCCCTCGATGAGGTGACTTGCTTGAGAGCGGGCTCGAGCAGGCCAGGACGTCAGGTTGTAGACGAGGGTAACGGACGACGGGGGTTCGCGTGCCGGTCCAGGGTCCTGATCAAGATGTCGAAGCTCCCGGCCTCCAGGGGGGTTAATTGGAGGGGAGGTGGCGGGAGGAGAATGGGAGGAGTCGTTGTGCGTGGTGAGGAGGAGCCGTGATCCACAGAGCTTGCTGTCGATAGTCGATAGTGTGCTGCGACGGCAGGGAAGTACGTAGTTGCGTACATGTCCAAGGCAAAGTCGCAATGAGGCAGGCCGGAATCATCATGTAAAGTACAGCTTGAACCTGGATATTGAGTACTAGACGCGGGAAGAAGAAGACGACGGAGGAGGAGGTCCAGTAGGAAAAGTGGGCGATTGCCCTCATGAACAGAATTGGAGACTTTGACAAAAAGGAACCTTCAGGTAGACGTGTGAAGTGGATGATGGATAAGTGGATTGAACCACAATGACAGTCTGGCCATGAGATATGCTAGGTATCTTAAAACATGACTACTCCGTAAGGTGCGTGCTTGACATGAGTACTTTCATGGTTGGCTTACGGAAAGAGACGAGGGAATTATTGCAGCCGACGGGAGAGATATGTCCAGGTACCTCATTCCATATTCCATTGAGAGGGCAAGAGATGAAGGAATGGAGAGGATCTGAGGACGTAGGTATGTGGGATTTCCTTGTCGGCTTCAACGTCACTACCTGCCTTACCTCATGTGCCTGACCTTGACCACATTCTGCTTTCCATACCTACCTTACGATAAGATAGGATCGGATACAGAGTTGATACCTGACATTCCCGTCAGGAAGGACAGCAGATAGCATCTCGCATGTGGAAAGATTCCAGGAGCATATTAGAGGGTACCTTGGGGACAAACGTTATGGAATGGCAGGTGCAAGTGCATGTTTAAAAGGCAAATAGTTGGATAGGCAGGAGCAACACACGGGCAGTCAGCCCGAGCTTCTGCTTGAGGTGTGAACTGTGGTCTGTGGACTCGATGAAAGGGTGGGGTTGGCAGCAGGACCCGTGCGAGTGGAGGTTGAACATTGAATCTTGACCACACATGAAGGAGGTACGTCCTGAACTGGGCAGAAATATGGAAGTGGGATGGGAGGCCGGCGTGGCAGGCACGACAGGGCAGCAGAACAAGGAGAGAAAGTGGGAGGTGGAGCCGGGACAAAGAGGGAAAGAACGACGATGATTGACCAAGGCGTCGACGGGATTGAATCAGTGCCCCGGCTCTTAAGGCACCTTTAGCCTGGGAAACCCTGCCTGGTCTAATTTTGAGTTTTCTAGTCGGTGCGGGTTAATATCGGAATTACACACTGTGAGGGGGCACTGTATTTCCGTTCTCCAGCGACTCTGCACATGCCACAAACAATGGAACCCACTGAGGGACGGGGACATGGCCCCGAAATGGGGGGCCTTGATGCGCTACTGGAGTCGCTGACTTGCTGGATTAGGCGCTGGAGAAAACCGTTGGAGACCTGGCACGCATGGCAGCCTGGGTCCCTGGAACCTGCCTAGGTAAGGGGGTCGGTGAAGAAGTCGAAGAGCGGCGTGTCATGATGGTGCTGCGCCGGGGGGGGGGTTGGTTCGGAGGCCACTGGGGGTTCATCATGGTCGCGATGAGAGGAGTGCAGTGAGGGAGAGCCTGGCGTGCCGCACGCCTGTCATCTATGAGAGGAGGGGGAGGGGAAAAAAGAGGTCGGGGGGTTGTTAGAGAGGGCACGAGGTTGGCACGAGGCATCAACGATGGAGAATGCCATATCCGTTGTTATTAACAAAGCCTTCCAAATGGGAAATGGAAGCTGGGAAGGGAACCTCTCCCTCCGGCCGCCGGGGCGGTGCTTCCCTCCTTTCCCCGTCGCTTCCTCCGACCACCCGACCCGATCTTGGAGCAAAATAGAGCAATTGCGACGGTGAAGCCCTGCCGCCTGCCATTTGGAGTTGTCAACATACCGCAGTAAGAGTCGAGACGTGGATGTGCAACTTCCGAGAGCCATCTCAGGTACCTATCTACCTACCTGCCTTGCCTCACTCCATAGTCCGTACCATGCCATGCAACTGCCACTGCCACCTCGACCTCGCCAAGGGCAGGAACGACATCCGGGAAGGCGAGGTAGAGGGGCCGAAAGAGAGTTGGCAGGTGCAGATGCCAGTGTCATTCGACGGGATCCTTCCTTCCCATCAGGTCGCTTCCAAGGCCACAAGGTCAGCTGCCCGGCAAGACTCAGTCCGGAGCGAACACAAAGGCAGGCGCACCTTACTCAGTACCTTACCTACCGGTACATACCTAGGTGGGTACCTAGGTACCTTACAATGGGAAGTTGTACGCACCCGTGACCTTCCTTACCAATGCTTGATGACCATACTCTTGCTCTCGTCCAGTTCCCTCCTTCCCTGAGCTTGAGTTCATCTCACCGTTGAGGCTGCTCTTTCCTTAGGTGCGACTGACTCCTGACTGCTGAAGTTTGGTCGTGGTCGTGCTTGGCTCCTGCTCTTTCCATTTTCGGCCTGGGTTTGCTCCGGATTCCGGACCCGTTCCGTCTCTCTCTCCCTTGACCATGAACCTGGCAAGACTGGCCTGCTCAAGCATTGAGCATAACCAAGGCCATGATCGTGTCCTGGTCTTTGCCCGGAAATCCCCCTCGCCCCCCCCCCCCCGACTTTTTCTGGAGTTGCGCCTTTTCTTTATTCATATTGCTCCAGGATACAAGCTGTGTGTTCGTAGATTAATGATCGCAGGCTTGACATTTCAAACTCGATTCGGCCACCAGGTTTCTTCCTTGTCGACCGAGTGCGGCAATTAGGCCCTCTTGTGCAAAGGCCCGATTCTGCACTGTGTTTCTCGGGTTTTCCTTGGAACGGGGAAATTTGTTATCGATAGTTGCCATCGCTTCAATATCCTTTGACTGCCGCAATCAATACTTTTTCCATACATAGTAACCTCCTTTTCGCGGACCGTGGACGGCATCGACTTCGGATATTGGGTTACCTAACCCTGTATCAAAATATAGCTCGTTGCTCCTCAACTTGTGAGTTGCATTCACTTACTATTATGAGAATGGTCAATACAACAAGGTAAGCCACTCCCGCAATATACTTGGGTACCTTACCTCGTACACTGGGTCATGTACGTAAGCAATTAACTCGATCCCAGAACTCTTCATCCGCTTCACCTCGGGGCGTGTATTCTGCCTCACGGTCTACGGATACCCAGGCTATCGCTAGGGGAGCCTCTGAACGTTACCTCCCGCCCTCGTGTCCGCCTCTGCCCTCCACTCTCCGACTTCACGTCGTCACCACCCCCGTGCTACCCCTCGACATGACCGGACTACGCTCCGATCGCATCTGGCTCGGGAGACGGCGCGAGCGACTCTTCCCTTTCCGCCTCGACATGCAGGAAATCGCATCGGACGGTCTGCTTATCCCTCGGCATCCGTGTGCATCGCCATCTGATGATTGACCGCTTTCGTGCTTGGGCATTGCACCGCACCCGCACCGTACAGCACCGCATCTCACCTCGCCTCGCAGTCGCAGTCGCACAGAGGCAGTCAGTTGCTTGGCCCATGTGGCCACCGCTCTGCCAGACCCCAGCCTATTGACGCTTCTCAACAGCCACATTCGGCCGTCGCTGCAGCCGTGGGTCGAAGCTTCTGGGGGCTACTGCAGCCACTGCATACTCTCTGCATGCACCCGGCCGTGATCCCTTCTATTTGCGCCCCCAGTATATCTGTACAGTACAGACTACAGGCTGGTGGCCACCAAGACCAAGACCTACACCTCGACCAAGACCATTCAGAAGACCAGCAGAGGGCATACACTGCAAGCTGGATGCATAACCACAGCCAGACCGAGCCACGTTCGTTGTCGAGGCCCACATACCAAGCCGCGCCGTTACTGGCGACTGCAAGGTATCCGTACCTTGAATCCTCTGTACCTTGCCGCTCGATGAAGGTGCCGTGAGGTCAGGAAGGCAGGCGGTCAGCCGCCCATCACCCGTCCTCGACCTTGTCGTCCTCGTTCTACACTAGTCTTCCACCACACAACGGTGCCCGTATCCATGTCGGTACGTGGAAGCAGCAGCTCAGGTACCTTGCACAACCGGCCTAACGCCGACAAATGGGAAGCTAGAACGCCCTACCTGACCTTGACTGCTGATGCTTCTGCGTCGGCTGCCGCTGCTACTTGCTCATCTACTGCTACGCTACGGCTAAGCTACGCTGCGCTACCCCCAAAGCTCCTCGGGAGCCAGTGCTACTGTCCCGCGGGGCTAACAGAGAGGTAGTCACATACACAGTAGTGTACCGTTCGAAGTACTGCGTATGTGGAAGAGTTTGAGTGAGGGGGAGGGAGGGGGAAGGGGAACAGATAGGTACTCCGTACACTACGTCTGGTGGTCCGGTCCTGTCCTGTCAAAAACAACCAGGACAATGCTGACTATCGCAATTCAGGCCGTCTTTTGATCGTCTCGCATCGCCTCGTCTCGTGTCCAAGACCCTTTGCCGTTGATGACTTTGGAGCACGGGAGCCAAGATTACGCGTCTCTCCCGTTTTTTGGTTGATGAGACGGGCTGCCTCTTTTTCTTTTTTTTTTTTTTCATATTTCCCGGGGACCCCTTTCTTCGTCTTTGTTTAGAAGAAGGGGGACGGGGTATCCGAGCGCCCCCAAAAGTCAAGAGACAGATATCCGCCCCTAGACTATTCGCGAGGGAAAAGACGCGAGGGGGTTCGGCGACAAAGTGCAAGAAAGAATGCAGCAGCTCAGCAGGTTAGCGAGTAGTGGCCATTTCGGAAACGGAGATTCTACGCACAGCTGTCCCAGGTACTTTAGCAGCATACGCAGACTGCGGCAGGGCAGCACGATGCCAATGATGCGATGCGACTGGTTCGTGGGATTCCGGACGCGGCACCTTGGAGCAGTGAGTGGGTTGCGCACCTGCGCGGGCGGCGGGACTACGGGGACAAAAGGGTACGTACTGGCCCCCGGCCGGGTTCTATCAACTGCCATGATGAGGACCGGCCCTCAACCCTGCGCCTTTTTGCGGACCCCTGGCCCGCGTGCGGGCACAGACTGTTAGCTTCCCCTTTCAGGAACTTCTCCCACGAACATGCCTGGGCGCCTCCGCAATTGTGCCTCGCTCTATTTTCTGTGTCTATTTTTTTTTTGTTCCTTTCGTTTTTGCTTCTTCGTTTCTTTTCCTCTCTCTCTGTGCGTGCGTGTCTGTATGAAGCACGGATATCTCTCTCTCTCTCTCTCTCTCTCTCTCTCTCTCTCTCTCGCCCTCTCGCCCTCTCTCTGTTCACACATTGCGGATACTCTTCCATGTTATGTTGTGTGGTTTTCTGGGCCCCCATCCTCTACTTCCTTGACACACCCACAACTTGCCACCCCGTCACCCGTGCTCCGAGTGTTTCTCTACTTCGGATTATTGACAAGTCGCCAACCTTGAACCCTTCACTCTCGCTTTGTCATAATATTTCTTGCAATACTTGAGTCCTCGCAAGAGCCGGACACGAAGAAGAGGAGAAAGGAGGAGTCAGGAGATTACCTCTGGCCCATAGGGTCACTAGCGCCCATGTATGTAAGTCATAACGGATCTCCATATGAGTCTAATCATGCGCAGTGAGGCTTTGAGAGCAGAGAGATGCAACCGCAAGCATCGCGAGTCGTGAGCACGCATTCGATATACCATGGAATCAGGCATCTTGACCGACCGGCTCAATTACCTTCCTCTTCCTTACACTTGGTCCAGGAAAAGGACCCCTTTAGTTTCTTGCCTCCTCGGTCTACGTTTTCTTCCATCCACACCCCTCTTTTCAACTTTCCCTCTCTCTCAGTGAGCAGTGAGCAGCGAGGTGTCTCCCCGACCGACTCGAACCCGGCATGTGCCTGCTCTGGCGCGTCTTGGTTCCCAGGAGAGTCATGACACTTGACGGCAGAGCCCGAACAAAAGAAAAGCAGAGTTGCGACGCTTGAATGCTTGAACGAACCGCGCCGTTGACAGCCTTGCTTTTGGGGAAACACCCCTCCCCTCCTTCGCCGAACAACGGCGAAAAATAAGGACAGACTCAGAGACATTGCCTCTTGTCTGACCAGCCTGCCAGCAAAAGCCTCAGTCAGGCGCCTGTATCTATTATATTAACCCTCTCTTAATATCGCCTGCCCACTCCACCATACCCGGACAGGGATCTTGGAACTGGATGTGTGCCCCAAGCGAGTTGAACTCGGCCCCTGGTCTCTAGCAATCTCGTGAACCGATCCCCCCCTCTCGCCCTTCCTCTCCGTCTCTCTCTCACTCTCTCTTTCACACGTTCACACCCCCTTTAGCCCATACACCTTTCCACTTCCTGCCTTCGTCGGCGTCTCTGCCCAACGGTCTTCTAGAAAAATTGCGGGCCAGTAGCCTACAACAAGGGTCGGAGGATTCTCTGTCTAGTCCTCTTATCGAGCGACCCCCCCCCCCCCCCCTTCCTCAACCCCTGGGCATTTCGCCATGATGCTTCCATTGGTCAAGACGAGGGTATTGGGGCCTTTCCAGCCTGCGATTTCTCCTCAAGAGATGGTCCTCCCCCCGTGCCTCCGTACGATCCATGCCAGGTTCTTCTCCGTCCCTCCATCTCGACGGAGCTACGTACCGCACATGCCACCCTGTTCACCAGGGTCAGTAGTGCCAACCCTGAAGGCTTGCCGTTAACTCTCTTCCATGTCTCTTGCTCCTAGCGATGCCAGTTTGTGCAAGGGACTTGTTCACGCCTCCGGCAGAAGCGGGGGTGTGTTGGAGGGGAGAAGAGAGAGAGCAAGAGGGAGACTATATGTGTGTGCATGTGCGCGCGCGTGTCTTCGAGGCCGATCGAGTGAGAGGAGAGAAAGAGACAGAGACAGAGAGAGAGGGAAAGAGAGTGTGTACACGGATAGAGAGGAAGTGTGTGTATGCCAGTGTCCAACTGGGGCCATTCGACCCGTGTGTATCCATGATACCTACGTAGCTATGCATCTTTTCTCAGGATATCGTATGTATGTTCATGTGCGGGTGCGGGTAATGAAGACTGGTCTTGGATGTGCAAATATGCGTCGGCTGGTTCTACTTGTTCGTAAGTGCGTTTGGGCGAATAAGCGTTCGTGATGCGCTGTTTCTCCATCCCCCGGAGCTCGTCCGTCATGTTCACTCTGTGGTCTTGCTCACACACCAACAAGTCACTAAAACTAAGGTAAGGTAAATATTGCGTACCTTTGCTTGGACGGGCCAGTAGTCTGTATGCAAATTCATAAACCAGAGCTACACTACTGCAACAGCAGTGAAAGGCCCTGGACCTGGTATCCTGAACTGTGCTCGTTTGCTCTTATCAAACCGTTTCAGTGCCGCCCCTCGTCCTGGGCCCTCGTCGACATTGTCTCCTCCTCTTTTGCCAGTCTGCCAGTCTGCGAGTCTGGGTCTACGGCCTGCGTGCTGCGAGCTGCGTACTGCGTGCCCCCTTCCCCATAGCGCCGCCTTCTAAGAAGGGTATTTCCCTAAACCTGGTCGCCGCTCTGCAGGGCGCATCCATACTCCATCGTCGTAGCTCCATAGCGTGCCTTGTTCTTCCGCTCACCAGATCGCCCGCTCCTCACCTTTCTCCTTCCCAGTATGGTTGCATGCACTGACCGTCCTGTCCAAGAACCCGCCGTCACGTTGTACCGGTGACCTTGCCTTTGCCGCTGCCGCTGAAGAAGGCACAGGTCAACGGACCAGCACGAGGAACATCCTGTTGAGACATCAACTTGCTGCTCGACTCGACTCCGACTCGACTCGAAGCAACCTTGACCTTGAACCTCGACCTTGCCTTGGCTGGCCTCCCCCAGCCCTGCCCCATCATAGTATCCACCCCAGAACAGTGCCGAAGATTTTCATCAGACACCCCCTCCAACATCTACCGTCCTCTTGCTACCCATCCACCCCATCAGATACAAGTATACATCTCTCCCTGCAACCTTAAACACGACCGTCGTCCGTTGATCCTCAGCTTCATCTTTGCATCTCCTGCATCTCTCAAGTCTTCGCCATCACTCCTCGAGATCAAATAACACACTCGCTCATCCTCCCCTTCGCTTTACCAATCCAACCTCCTTTGGACAAGACAACTTACATCAACAACGTACATACATACCCCTTGTTGATCATCCAGCAAGGACCTCGACATATCGCTGTGTTAAAGTACACACCGAGACAAGAGAAAGAAGAAGAAGAAGAGTGACAGAGGCGCGCTTGGGTCTGGAACAGGACTACAGCGCACCAGAGAGGCATGCTCTAATGTCAACCACGGTCACTTACCCCGTCATGGCAGAGCTGAAAGAGCCGGCACATTCCAATCTTTGGTCGAACTATGGGAGTCCCGTCCAAATGTCGTCTCGATTCAACAACAGCCTGGATTCCGGCCTCGGAGGCCACGCCGCCAACTCACCACACGCGGGACGCCCTAGGAGCACCCACCCGAGTGTAGACCACGGATCTTATCCCTATGGTCGCTACCCCCAAGACGAGTCCGATGCGTACGACAGACATTCGCATCCCAGCTTGACATCGCACCACAGCTTCCCCAACCTCAAGAGACCTTACTCGCAAACCGAACAGCCCCCTTACCAGGAGATTGTCCAGGACTTGCGTGACGACGGCTCCAAACTTACCGTCAACCACGACCACAAGCTGCTCTCCTTCAAGAGGGTGCAAGACAAGCATACTATTGTCGACCAGCATGGACGCATGCAGCAGCTGGAGCTGTCTGCCCAGCTGCATGGAATGTTCTTCCTGTCCGAAATGCCAGCCAACAGCACCGACGGCTCCATTCTCCAGCCCGAGCTGACTTGCTACCGACGAAACCTGTTCCAGATTAGCGGCTCTCTCATCACCCCGCGAGGCCAGCTCAATGTCATATCCGAGACTGGCGAGACGGTCCCTGTTAGTAACACCGAAGTAACCATTTCTGCTATCGAGTCTGTCGACGGCCACCCCGTCCGACTCATCGTCATCCCCTGGAAGACGCCGCCACCCAACTCCCCAGAGATTACCCAGACCCCCGACCAGGAGCCAGCATCACTTCCCTTGATTCCGTTCCAGGAAGATGGTTCGGAATCCGACGGCGAGTATGCCGTCTACCCCATTGGCTGGCGCCGACTTCAGTTCAGAATGTGAGTAACACAGCCGAAGCGCACTTAAGCTGACATGCCGAATCTTGACTGACTTGACAAAGTGCCACCGCAAACAACGGGCGGCGAAAGGAACTGCAGCAACACTTTGTGCTCCACCTCAAGGTTGTTGGAACGTTGGCCAACGGAAGCAAGATTGTGCTTACCGAAGCGACTACAGCGCCCATTGTTGTCCGAGGCCGCAGCCCTCGCAACTTCCAGGCGAGAAAGGAGATTCCCCTGCTGGGATCGAGCGCTGGCTCCAGGGGCCAAGCTTTGGTCGAGACTGGACTGGGTATTGTGGCAGGACCGTTGGCTATCAAGCCGCAGGATGCCAAGGCAAGAGGATTGGACATGCAGATGCCCCGTTCCGCTTTTACCTTCAACGCCGGAGGGCCCAAGATGCCGGGAGCACCCATGGGAGCCATGAGATCCAAGTAAGTCAAATCGCCTTCCCCCAATGCGCATCACTTGATGCGCATTGCTGGAATACGAAGCCCGGTTACTAACCCATCGTAGCTCATACCCCAACTGGTCCTCCTCGAACTCTGTGCCCGGGATGCCACAGCTACCACCAGCTGGCTCGGGAAGCTACCCGGCCACGACCATGGGAGAATCTTACCACAAGGTTGCTCTGCCAGGAAGTGCAAGCTTTGGTGGAGAGGGTCATGACATGCCTTTGCAAACGTCGATGCCCTCTGTTCAGCTTTCCCTGGTTGCCAACGAACAGCAGCAGCCTCCGATCAGGACACAATACGCTTACGTGCAAAGCACGACTGCTCCGCCGCCACTATCAGTATCGGCCACGGCAATGGCATCGAGCTCAGACAACGCGCTCAACGTGCCCAGATATGTCGACAACCCTCGACCCACCAAGAGCCCGAGGCATGCGAGCCAGCCCTCCATCGGTTCCATGTCTCATCACGAGGCATCTCCGGAGTACCGGTACGGGTCTTCGTACGGAGCAGTTGGCAGTAACCCCAGCGACATTGCACCGCCGTCTTACAAGCCCGACCCCCCCGCGTCACACTCCAACCCTTCCCGAGACTACTACCCGCCCTCGAGCTCATGGACAACAACAGCCGGAGAGCCTGCCTCGACGGTCGCATACAGCAGCAGTGAGGCAAGGCCTTATGGCTTCCCTGAACAATACTCGAGCGGAGGCTCTGCACCAACCACTAAGCAGGAGCACGCTCCCGCTCCGCCAGCCCCTGGGTCATACAGCAGCGCTCATCGGGGATCGTTTGATGGCATGAACCATTATTCCTGGAACACTAATTAGCTGCGAGTATAACTGATTGGCGGCTGGGCCACGCCACTTGTCTCCAAACTTCAGGGACAGTAATAGGTCGGGCCAAACGATGCTTGGGCTAAGAGAAGCAAGCTTTCAGGGCCGAGCTTGTTTCAGGACCTGGCACGACAGTCCTGACTGTGTACCATTATACCTTCAATTCGAGGCCAGAAGAGTGATTGCGGTTTGGATTCAACTTTTTATCTTCAAGTACCTAGGCGCGATATTTCGATTCTGGAGCGCTGTCGAGGCGAGGGGTCTATACCGATTGGAATACGGCATGTCCCACGGTAAAGGAGGTTTCCCTCTGGCGGTTGCCATTTGTGGCTCTGCTCGGCATGGGCGTGATTTTTTTTACAAGGTCTCATGACAGACCGGACCCGAGCATAATTTGGGTAGGCGCAGCAACGACATGGTCGACATCGGCGTCAAGAGACGGGCATTGTCTGGGTGGCTGGGCATTTCGATACCACACGGAGGATAGCATTGACGTCGAATGCCCCGGCCGGACGCTTCTATCACCGGCTCCGGGCCGTGCTGCGACATTGTGTGGGCGAGTTACTTAACGATATGTATGGTATTTTTTTGGTTTTGTTGAGCGCCGGGTATCGAATGAGGATAGCAATGAAGGGCATTGTGGTCTTTGACTCGGCATCCTTGGTCCTGAATGCGCCAACATTGGCAAATTGTGTTGCCCGTGAGAAGGAAGGGTATTGGAGGGGAGGAAAAGGACAAAGCCAC